CGCATTCTTGTTGCATGCAATGTTCACCTGCTCAAGGACAGCTTCGACACGCGCCCCGTCAAGAGAGTGCGCCCGTAAGTCAAGGAGAACCATATGACTGTCTGTGCCGTCAGCGACGAGTTTGTATCCTAGACGCTTGAACTCTATCTCCAGGGCCTTGGCGTTGCTGATGACATTTTGCTGGTACTGCTTGAATTCTGGAGTCCGAGCCTGCTTGAGCGCAACAGCTAGGGCTGTGATGGTGTGATTGTGGGGTCCACCTTGGTGACCAGGAAAGACGGAAAAGTTGATAGGACCTTCGAGATCATAGAGTACTTGTTTACCGGTCTTGGGATCTGACTTTCTTACGCCCTTGCGATAGAATATCATCGCTCCTCTTGGGCCACGAAGTGACTTGTGTGTGGTCGTGGTGACAATGTCGGCGTGTTCAAAGGGAGAGGGAATGACACCTGCGGATATCAAGCCAGAGATATGTGCCATGTCAACAACCAGGTAGGCGCCGCAGAGATCCGCTATTTCACGCATGCGTTTGTAATCAATCAGACGGCAGTAGGCGGAGGTACCGGCTACTAGAACCTTCGGTCGGTACATGAGTGCGTTCTCTTCGAGCATCTCGTAGTCGATGATACCAGTCTCAAGGTTGACACGGTAGGGGAAGGTTTCGAAGTATGTTGATATCGCCGAGATTTTCCTTTGCGGCGTTTGGTAACCGTGACTCAAGTGTCCACCATGCGGTAAGTCCAATCCCATCAGTCTCTCGTGCGGTCTCATTATGGCCTGGTAGACTTGCAGGTTTGCGGGGCTACCACTCAAAGTCTGCACGTTGACGCCCCACTTCTCGGCATCAAGGCCAAAAGCTTCCAGTGCTCGTGCTTGGCAAGTTAACTCAATTTGATCGATAAATTCATTGCCTCCATAATATCTTGCTCCTGGGTAGCCTTCGGAGTACTTGTTGCACATGGGCGAGCCTAGTGCATCGAAGACGGCTCTGGACGTGAAGTTTTCGGAGGCAATAAGAACGATCGATTCGCGTTGCCGTTGAATCTCTTTCTTCTGAGAGACGGCGCGTTATATGACATTCTGTAGTAGGGCAAGGGCAGTGACGAACCATTATGGCAGCGATTTCTGAATCGGTCTCCACCAAGGACTTATGCATAAGCTGGAGTGGCGGTCAGCTGATGGGGCGTTGAGATTGAATTGGACATGAGAAACTCACGTCCTTGTGGGACTCAGGCAACGCGTATGCAGCCGTGGAACCCATGACTGAATGCTAGCTGTGCGATATCTTGTTGAGTCAACTAGAAGTTGGAATGGAATGGAATGGATAAGAGCGTTGAGAGAAGTGAAGAGCTGAAGGTTACGGGATGTAAGATAATCGAGTCTCTGTCGATATCGGCGCTAATGCACGGACGGAGTTCGGAGTTTGATACGGACCGACAGTCGGGCTCGAGTCTCGACCTGCTCTCCTGCTCTAGTTGGCAAAAGTCATTCTCTCGACTCTCCCATCTGATGTGTTCCCCATGTTCGTACTTCCATGCTCGACGGGTCAGCGACTTGCAGCTTCTACATTGCGGTCCGGCACTACTCATCAATGGCAGGCTCTTCGTATCACCTCATTGCAACATCAATGGAGCACACCAATTCCTCACGCGAGGTCTTTACAAACAGAGGCTACACAAGTTAGCCATGTGCCTTTTCGCAAGCAGTTGAAAGACGAGGCGAAGAGAAAGCGGGATGCTCAGAGACTTGATGCCGTACGGGGGAATACTCAGGACACCTGCAAGAATAGCAATGATTCGAGTTCGAAGAAATGGAAGTTGACCGTGGGCCTTGAGGTACATGCACAGCTCAATACTGAGCGCAAGTTATTCTCAGATGCAATGACATCTGAGGATTGCGCGCCGAACGCCCATGTTGCCGTCTTTGATCTCGCTTTTCCTGGAACCCAGCCAGAATTTCAAAAAGCTACCCTCCTCCCAGCCCTGCGTGCTGCTCTAAGTCTCGATTGTGAGATTCGTCAGAGGAGCCAGTTTGATCGCAAGCACTATTATTATCAAGATCAGCCTGCAGGCTACCAGATTACACAATACTATTCGCCTTTTGCAGTGAGCGGAAATGTCCATGTCTACGATCATGATGGCATTGCGCCTGAGGATGGAAGAATCGTCAACCTTGCCATCAAGCAGATTCAGATGGAGCAAGACACAGCGAAATCAAATCTACAGCCACCCTCAACTACTCTGCTGGACTTCAATCGTGTCGGACATCCTCTGATCGAAATCATCACTCATCCTCAAATCCATCACCCTCAGACTGCGGCAGCCTGCGTCAGAAAGATACAGTCCATCCTACAAGCTGTGAATGCTGTCACGAAAGGTATGGAACTGGGAGGGTTGAGAGCCGACGTCAATGTCTCCGTAAGCCCTCAAGGTAGCGAAGCGCTGGGCCAGCGCACCGAGATCAAGAATCTGAACAGCTTCAAGGCTGTTGAGCATGCCATCACTGCAGAGAGAGATCGGCAAATCGCAATACTGGAGTCTGGTGGATCCATAGAGGGGGAGACTCGTGGATGGACGCTGGGAAGTACCGAGACCGAGAAGCTTCGTGGGAAAGAGGGCGAAGTGGATTATCGGTACATGCCAGATCCGGACATAGCACCGCTCATTATTGGCCAAGTAAGCCTCAGCCGTGATGCTATCGCCCTGATGCTTGCTAAGTCGACGATGACAGGATCTCATCGATCACATTGACAGGACTCTTCCCAAGCGTCCAGACGAGATAATTGCAAATCTTATGACCGTCTGCGAGCTGACTATGAAGGATGCAAAATCCTTGATGTCCCTCGACAATGGTGAGCGGTTAGACTATTTCGACACTGTGAGGACAATGTGGGCCTCCGAAAAGAACGATCCCATCTCAGCTCCGCGTCTCTCCAAAATTGTTGGAAATTGGTACGTCTTCGTCATCCAGATCCCCTAATTGATTTTGACATCTTGCCTTAAGGGTCCTTCACGAACTTGGCGGTCTTCTCAATGCAGCCAATGTTCCCTTTTCCCCAACAATCGTTCCACCTAGGTCTATGGTTTCGATTCTCCAGAATTTGGATGCGAAAAAGATTACAGGAAGTACAGCGAAAAAGCTCCTTGCAATGTCATTTGACGGCGACGAACGAAACGTAAACACGATCATCGATCAAGCCAATTTGGGCCTGCGACATCTGTCCCGGGAGGAATACATCATGATGGCGCAAGCTTTGCTTGACAAGGATCCTAAGAAAGTCGAACAGATTCAAAAGGGAAAACAACTTGGGAAGCTCAAGTTCTTCGTCGGACAGATGATGCGCCAAGGATCAGGGACAATAGAAGCTCAAAAGGCGGAAGCCGTGCTCAAGGAGCTTTTGGGTCTTAAGTAACAAGCCATCAAATTCCCAGAGAAATCCCTTAGCACGTTTCATCACTGCTGAGATTGAGACAAACTCCCAGGTCGCTTGCTCAAGATCCAGAACAAGGATCAATTGCGATCTTCGTAGACCTTGCCCATGTTGACCGTCGTACCGTCAGGACAAAGACGCTAGTCATTTCGACTGCGGTGGAGTTCTAAAAGAATATGTTACGAGTTTACACTCGCATACTGAACCAATATTAGGGTAACACTTCCACACCCCCAGCCTTCTTTGACAACCGAAAATTCACAAATTGACGTATTATCAGATGCCAATATACCTTGATATCAAGACTTCGTCACCCACTGCTTGATCTTGTCATTGCAACAATATATAGTCAAGCGTTCGCTATTTTTGGCTACAAATTCCTGACTACTTTTACCATTCGTCCCTTTGTTTCTAGAACCGACCACGACAAGGGTCAAAGTTTCTCCAAGTTGACAGAACCGTTTTTTGTTTTGCAGATCATTATTATCACGGAAGCCAAGCGCCTTGACTGTGCCTTCTACTGGGGTTCAGGCGTCCGCCGTACGATAACAACATATCACGAAAGTGACTGTTAGGAACCCGCCCTTCAAGCGAGGTGAGCCTATCGGGGACCAGCAGGTAGGAAGTAGTATAGGGGACAAGGTGAGAATTGTAGTGGAAGCCTTAGGGAATTGGGGCGCAGTGGTGGCTGTGTTGGCGCTGCTGGATGCGAAGATGGGTGGGAGGCCAAAACTGCTTGAGGTGCTGAGGGATGGCATGGTTGGAGTTGGGGGGAGTGTGCGATAGTAAGAGTTGGAGACGCGACTGTGCCTTTTGCGATCGGGGATGGTGTTGTGTGGTTAAGAGCTACGTATCCCATAATATGTAAGGGTAAATGGACTTCGATATCTTGATGTGAATGTATGTCACTGGTCTTAGCTTGAGCGTATTTGGGATTCGATTTGGCAAAGGCTCAGCTCGATCGCCTGCATATTGGCCTACTTTCAGCTCTCATGATATATGAGTTGGCGAATCCACAGCTAGAGTGACTAGGAGACTAGCAGATCCCACCATATGCCACCAGATAAGCTGACCTGTTCCAGTTCAATATGTTATTACTCTTGCAAGAATGTCAAGTCCGCCAGCCCAGGACCCTATCATGATTTGATATCTGTGAAAATGTGTGTACGGTATTATTACAGTGTCGCGTATCTCGGAGCGTACAACACATTCCTGTCATATGGGAGGATCTTTACGTTGCTACAGATAGAGACTCCGAGAAGAGTCTTTGTGTACATTACTCGTTAGAAGCAACGCCGCGTCCTTCACGCTTTTGGGGGTATCATGGTGCCGCCAACGCCGGATGCATCCGAGAAAAAAAGAAAACAGAGACATACATGTTGCCTTTCAATGGTATCCCTGCCCGTGCATTATTTTGCGACTTTTCGAAAGTACATAGTGATGTTTATTTTACATTAGTATAGACGATGGGTCGGAAGGAGTTCATGGCTCGACCGGCATCTGTCTCACAGTCTCGTCCATGTTTATAGCGATCACGTCTTCTGAACACCGCAACAGGCTCGGTGGTTTGTCATTCCACCGAGCTGGGCTCCGCATCGACCATCTCTTCCCGCTTGGTTCTTTCCCCCTGAACGGACGGCCTAGGACGGCGGACAAGATCTTGCAGCTCTTCGGCAGGAGGCGGCGCTTCTGCAACCACCTCATGTACACTCCCATGATCTTGACCATTGGCACGGTGTTTGCTTTGAGAGAGGAATTTTGCCTTCTCCAGCCCTTCGACCATCTGTTCCTCGGCAATGACCGCTTGTGACGTAGGCTCCTCGGGCTGTTGGAGGCAAGCGGTGCAAAAGTACTGCTGATGTGCCTCCGTCAGGCCTCGGACGACGTCGGAAATGATAGGCCGATCTCCGGGCCTGCGTGCGATCATCTTTGAGCTGAGCCGGAAAAGGAATACCAACGGGTCTTTCCGTGTCAATCTTTGGATCTGCTTTTTGGCCCATGCTTGTACGCCTTCGGTGTTCTTCCAAAACGGCATGCAACTCTCAAAGTCGCTTGGGACAGAGGCCTCCGATCCTTCGGCGATCAGGTAGCTGAGGACTTCGTAAATTACAATACCGAAGGAGTAGATGTCAGAATTCCGTCCATGGCCGATAGCGTTACCAGACCACCGATGGATTGCGCCGGTGCATCTTCATCTTCGTCATCACCCCAGTCCTCGTGTTCGATCTCGCCTCTTGCTTTGCGGGCCTCAAACTCCTCCATGATCACTGGAGTAGCGTAACGTGGCGAATAACGATGGCGGGACTTGCTCGTCGTCTTGCTGTTCCCCGAGTCGCCGAAGTCGTGAGCAAGGCCGAAGTCCGCCCACAGAAATCGTGCTGGGTTTGGCCCTGGGGCTTTCTGGAACAATAATTGGCAGGTTTGGATATCCTTGTGGCGTACGTTGCACCCGTGGATGTGTGCAAGTCCCCTACTTAAGCATCCTCACACCGTCAATAGAACAAGCTTAAGGACAACGCGATCTCTCCGACGGTCTCGACTATCCTTGTCGTAATCGAGGCCGTTTCTGCGGTATCTGTCGAGGAGCTTCTTGAGATCAGTGGTTGCGGCAGGCTTCAGGAGGATCCCGTAGCGATTTCCGCGCTGGTAGGACTTGACGAGTTGCACAATATGCCTGTGTCCAAGTTTCTTGAGCCTTGCGATTCCTCGCAGTAGATGGGCTCTTGCTTCGACGGAGATTTGTTCCTTGCAGGCGTAGAATGCATCTGTGAAAGTGTGTTGGTCCCTTGTCACACTGCCGTAGGACCCTTTCCCGTACTCATTTATATATTTCATGGGTAGGGGCTCTTCCTCGGCAATCTTGATATGTTCTCCATCGTTCCAAGTTCGACACACAGCCCTATATTGCTCAGTGGAAAAGGTCTTCGCGTGGTCGGCGTCGTCCGGCTCGAAGATGGTTCTCATGGTCTCTACCTTGAGCGGCAGATGCCTGTCATCCTTAGATTATTCGCAAAAACAGTCGAGAAGCCTCTCCTGCTTTATTCCACGTAGAATGAGACAGATTTTCGCCATTTCTGGAATCTTTCCCGCCTTCCGTAGTATGTCTGGCGACGTCGGGTTCGCGACATTGGCTTTGATGATGGGTTCCGACCACGCATCATAGAATGCCTTTAGGATCTGGCTCGCTTGTTGTATGCTACCTTGATCGTATATCTTGCCATCCCCGGGGTCATCCGCATTGCCAACATTCCCATTCAGATCTAGTCCTGGGGAGAATTCTCTCCATAGTAGGTAATATGTTCCAAAGCGTGTTGACCGCCTCTCTGCCTCCGACATCTGGCCGATAGCGTTGACGAAGACATAGTAGGACTTAGATCTTCTCTGAACTATTTCGGAGATTCTTGTTCGGCGTTCTTTTTGATCTAGAGTTTCACGCAAGACTGTTTTGACCTGATTGTGCAAGTAACCGATGGGGTCTCTTATCTCATCCAATTCCTTCCAGAGATGCGCAACTTCCACTGCCCTGTTCTGAAGTCAGCTTCGATTTGGGTATACAGCCTTGCAGCATGAAGCACTTGGATTTATCAGATATCCACATAGAGAACGCTAGCCTGTGGCCCCGAGCTTCTTTAGCATCATCTACCCGCGATACGATGTCCTCGAAGACCGAAGTGACCGATGCCTTGATTTCTTCGTCGGATGTCTGCCTTCCCTCAGGCTTTGAGGGATTGAATATTGCTGTTGACGCGTGTGATAACATCCTCAAGTAAGACCTTCTTCTTCCCGCTGTTGTGCTTCGTTTTGCTATTGTTCGCATACTTTCTCAACGAGTTGAGGTGCTGCTCGCATCTGTCGGCCGACTCAATCAGGTTGATCGGTCGCTGTGCAGGCTCCAGAGAGGACGCCATGCTCCTGCAACACTATGCTATATATTACGCCTTGCAGGGCAGAGTCTTCAACAAAGAAGCAATGATTGAGGGTTGAGAAGCTTCGAATTTGAAAGGATCTGCCGCGACTTTACAAGTAGGTTCAAGGCTTCAAGGGTGGCAAGGCGGTCTTGGTAGTAAGCTCGAGATCGCTTCGTCGAGAAATCTACCATCAACAAACTCTCTTTCCGCAACGTTACGGACTCTCTTGAGCAGACGTCGTGTGAGTCCTCGTTCGCCACCAGCTAAGCCCTGAGACTGACATTCATTGACTAGGTCCTTTTGGATTTCCCCATTAGCATTGGATTATACATGAAACTTAATCTTTCATCAATGTGAACGAAGCTCAAGTATGTCCAGTTGCATAAGGTCTCGCTACAGGCTAGCCTTATTTAGATTTGGCTGTGAATAACAACGACTTGGCTCTTACTGCCATCGGACTCTGCGCTGTTGCAGATAAGGCTCTTGGACCTCGACATCTGGCTTACTAGAATCCAACTGTAGTACACACCAACCTTCGATCTCGGGCATGGTCCAGCGCAGCTTGATATTTGTCACCTCTGGGGCCGCCTTCGATGATTCTTCTCGTCTGTTGCTGCGCCACCACTAACGCCCTTTTCCAAATCCAGATCTACTTCTGGTATCTTTGCCCTCCGGCCGCCAGCATGGCGCTGCCAGATATGTGGCATTATCTCTGTAAATGCATGGTCTGCATCTTCTAGCCCCTTCGATGCACTAGCTTCGATGGAAGCCTGGGAAGTTATAGCCGGTTTGAATTTCTTGGCTTTTGTTGGCTGTGCTTCTGGTGCATCGTCAACGATGCTATAGTCATAACCATCATCAGAACTCTGATAGTCCGATGCGTAGTCATCGCTCTGGGAATTTGCGCTTGAATGATGAGGTCTCAGCCGTGCCGGGTCCATGAGTTTTGAAGGCAATGGTGAGGAGATGGACATAGGACGAGCGTTGAACTATGAGCCAATTCGTACGGAATGACGAGAACCGGAAGTCGGAAATGCGTCTCAAGCCTTATAAATATTGATGCCAGCCTTGTGCCGCATCTCGTAATTTGGTTGGCATCGTCAGGCTTACCAAGCGAGGTGTGGCCCACTGCATCAAAGACAGGATTCGATTAGCTTGGGTCAAGCGTGCACGCCTGCATGAGACTTGCGGTCGAGAGTCAGAAAACGCGACGTATCGTTTCATTTTATAATTCATCATGGTAGTTATCTCCGAGACCACTTGAACGGATTTGTGTGAAAGAACGCGAGAGCGCGCGCACGCTTTTGTGAGTGTTCGAATATTTCTAGGGAGAGTGAGTGGAAGGATGTAGGATGAAAATGTTGATCTGAACGAGGTACTGATTACTTTGGTGGGTGTCATATCACCTTCGATTATCCAGCCCGCTTGTCTTGGGAGAGCTTCCGGTTTTAGTGCCAAGGTCCCCTTTTTGGATCCCTTTGATCGTGCATGGAGCAACGAGGGACTGCTAGTCGTTCTTTTGGTAAGCAAGATCGCGAAGGGTGAGCGGTTTTACTATGCTGTGACAGAATGAAGTTAAAGAACTTCAATAAATATGTTGGGATGCAATTAACACTAACGCATCCTCCCGGAATATGCTTTTCGTCCTCGCATTGTCGTATTGCTCTTGTGGTACTCGTAAATCATCACCCATCACAAGAGAGTATCGCCCAGCGCGCACCTCACCAAGGAGCAACCCGCTCTGATTGTGTCCGCAGCACCTACCGCCTCCAGAGAAGGATTCACTTCCACCAAATCCATAGCAACAAGACTTCCCGTCTCATGCACGCACTCGGCGATGTAGTCGCCTTCCCGCAAGGTCAGGCCACCTCTCACTGGGGTTCCAGTGCTAGGGGCCCATTGAGGATCCAGAGCGTCGACATCAAAGGAAAGGTGAATGGGAGTATCGTGCCCAATATGTCCCAACGCCATTTCCATGACTCGGCCAATACCGTGTCTATCGAAACTGTAAGGGTCCAGGATCACCACGATTCATCACGTATTCCAGCGACAACGCAAGAAAGGGATCCATACTTATCGATATCATGCATGCTAAACGCCTTTATCCCGTGCTCCCTCAGAATCTTCTTCTCTCCCCTATCAATGTCCCTCAAGCCAATATACACCAATTTCTTCAAGCTCAAAGCCTTCTCTTCTCCCAGCCACCCAAACATATCTGCCTTTTCTTCCTTTGCGAGTCCGGTCAGAAAAGCAACGGGCATACCATGAATGTTGCCGCTTTCGCTCGTCTCCGGCGTGTTGATATCTGCGTGTGCGTCCACCCAAATCACCGCCATTTCCCTACCAAGTCTTTCCTTGATGGCTCTAGACGTGCCCGCGATTGTGCCAATCGCGATGGAGTGGTCGCCGCCCAAAGTCAGCACGAGGCGGCCGTACTTTGCGTGCTCGTACACTTGATTGGACAGCTGCTTGGTAACGGCGCTGACTGCGAGTGGGTTCTTCATGTTGCGGTAGTCTGGGTCGGAGGAGGGTATGAGGCTGGAGTAGTTGTGGACTGTGTCATCGTGATGCAGGGTATAGCCCAAGTCCTCTTTCAGCTGGGTCAGGAGGCCGGCGGATATGAGGGCGGTGGGCGCGGCGTCCACGCCTGGTTTGCACTTTTGGAGGGGAGGTTAGCCGATGTTCAGACGTTGGAAGAGGGCGTGTCTGTAGGGCATTGTTATGGAAACAGGAGCAATTACCTGGCCGCCGGAAAACCCGACGGCTACTACCCCTAACTCGTTGCCTGCGGACAAGAACTTGGAAGGAATTGTGGAAGGGAAAGTCATTATTGTTGCTTTTAAAAGTCGCTCGAGTGTGGAATGATGCCTGTAATGAAGCCTTTGCAGCGGGGCAAAAGTTATTCCAGAGAAGGGGTATTTCGAGTGATGCAACCAGAGAATGAAAAGAGTAAGAGAAGGGACGAACAGGTAGGTAAAGACAGTGGCATTAATATTGGGAAGGAACGTTGCGTGCACCAAGAAAGTCACTCGGCCACAGCTCGGCAGAAACGTAAGATGCTTGGCAACCGCCGTCAAAAGCTGCGCTTAGGGTACAGACCCCTCTACTATTCCTGGTCTACCAACTTCACGTACGGATGCGTAATGACTGACATTTGACCCCTATGACAGGACTCTGACGGTCATACAGTGACAGGCCGTTTGAGCCGGCAAATAACAGCGCCAATCGTAAATCGTAGGTATTTGACCGTAAACAATATAGAGCTAATAAAGATAGATAGAGGCTCGGCATTATCTATTCACCGGCATCCACTTTTTAGCGTCGGTTAAGGGCAGTCATTCATAATATAACTAGCATATTGATAGATTCTAAAATCTTTGAAATATAAAACACATCTATCTACTAATCTGATATATGTTCCGGAACTTACGCAGGATCGACAGCAACGAGTACCTTAGGGCAACGGTCAAGTTCTGGACCGAGGCATTGGCGATGGACGAGGTCTAGCTTTAAGATCTGATGGTGGGTTTGTAGAGCCTGAGCAGCGTTTTTCGCGCCGGTTGGCGATGTCATGTCGATTTTGATTGTGATGACAGTGTCACCTCGTCCGTTGGCGAGGTAAGAGAGCTCTTGAGCGGCAGGGGAGGACGTGTCTCCGACGCTGGCGATGACCTCTGTGTTGGGGCGAGAGAGAAAGCGTTTGCAGAGACCCAGTGATCGAGACGACATTGCTTGATTGTGACATGGTGTATGGCTGAGTGTAGATTGGAAAAGGGAAAAGGTGATTCTTCTGATGACTTCTCGTACGTTGGCAGAAGTAAAGCGAATTCGCAGCCTCCGCAGCCTACGAGCATTTTTCAGATAAAGTGAGAAGGTAGGGCCAAATGACGGGTGACACAAGGACAGACGAGGCAGACAAGGCAGCAGCATGCATACCCTACAGGTATTTGATCACTACTCTTACTCTATGATCGGTCGAGGCCTTCCGATACAACGCAATTTACAGTGCAGACAGTCATAGCCATCCAGAAGCTGCACAACACTCCAATTGACAGAAGATGCTGCCCTTCATTCAGAACTTCAGATTCTACGCAGATCAAGCAGGCTTTTGGGTCAAAGGGAAGAATTGGTCGAACCGTCCAGCTGGATCATACACTGCCTTGATCCTCTGCAGCCTGCCCAGGTGCTTGCCACATATCGAGTGCAAACTTTCATCCCCGTTCGCGTAATTGATGTGGCTAATGTAAGGTCGGTTGATATTCAAACATCCATCACGATGCCATTGCCGCACGAAATGACGATCCAGAAACGCTGACGTCTCATTTATAGGCGAACCGCTCGGCGACCAGAGGAGATCACGGACCGATGATCCAAAGGCCTTAGCTTCCGCATCCAGCCCAATATCATCATAACATGGGATTAGCGCAGCGTTATACTTGAGGGATGAACGAGATGCATACGATGATGACGCATCGCCAAACGACATTGCTTTCGCCAACGGATATTTCTCCACCATCACAGTGCTATTCCCCGCGCCTGGGTTTTCCAAGAAAGATGTATACTGATCCCAAATGGTGCGCCACGTAGCCGCGACCATTTTTGTGAACCACTCCGGTACTGTACTGGCTTCTGCGGTACTGGCTTCTGCGGTACTGGCTTCTGCGGTACTGGTCTCTATGGTACTGGCTTAAGGTGGATTGCCTTTGCGCTGTGACTTCAATATTGAAACGCTTGTATCACCTCTTCTACCTCCTTCCCCTGTTCCTCAAGATCTATGATACAAAAGTCAGGGAGGACCACCAATCCACTGAGGTGATTTTCTTCGGCAGCAAGCTTTCCCACTAACATTCCCTGCGCTTCCAGCATGCATTCTTTGATGTCTAGTGATTTGGTGGATTCCGGATCCGAATTAGACAACTCCTCAAGCCTCTCCTGCCTGCGTCGTCCCATGGTGTCCGTTTACGCCAGCTGAAGAGGATGTGCCTCTAAGTACTCTTCAAGGGTGGAGAGTCTGCCTCGGGCGTTCTGCACAGCCCAAGCAACCAAATTCTCAGAATCTGGGCCGAAGTAGCCGAACTCCTCTGGGTAGCTGAACGCCTCACCAAAAATGTCATGCCCGAATGATAGGCTCTTCTTGAAGTCCTCAAGCGGGATCTGCTTGTAGACGACGGTCTTGCCTGTGGCCTTGGACATGATGGCAGCCACTTCATCCAAACTGTATAGTGCCGTGGCGGCGCAGAACGTCTTGCCTTCGTATTTGTCGGGCTCGGCGAGAATAGCGCCAACGAACTTGCCTGTGTCTCCGACAGCGTCGATCATGGGCATCTGGGCCTTAGGAGAGTTGTGGCGGGCCATAACCCAGGTGCCATCGAGAGCCTGTCGTGGAGCCAAGAAGGGTATAGACTGGAAATTCTGCATAAAAAATCCCGGCGAGTAGAAGGCGCTCTTGATGTGAAGACCTCGAATGTATTGCTCGGCTTTTGCCTTGGCATCGAAGTGGGTGACCTTGGTGTACTTGCCACCAGAGATCTCTTTGGCTGGCGGCAGAGTGCTGAAAATAATGTACTCGGCACCTTTCTCGACGGCGACGTCGGCAATCGTCTTGCCACTGTTGTACTCGACCTCCAAGCCGTCGGGGCCGAAGGAAGGTGTTGTCATGGCGAAGACGGTGTGCACGCCGGTCAAAGCTGTCTCGAGAGAGGCCCGTTTGAGTACGTCACCCTGGACGACCTCGACCTTCTCCTTAAGCTGCTTGGCCTTCTCCGAGTTGACATCACGGGTGATAACACGGATCTTGTACTTTTGGGAGAGCTCTGGGTCGTGCAGCACAAAGTTGATGACTGAACTGCCTTGTTGGCCGGTAGCTCCAAAGACTGCAAAGATCTTGGACATGTTCTGCGCTGTTTTGAGGTAAAAGTCTGAGGAATGTTGATTTTGTGAATCTTGGCCCTTTCCTAGGAAGCACTACAAGTTTGATGATAGTTCTTAAGGAAGCAGGTATCCTCGATTTTGTGCAAACTGAAAAATGAGAGATTGTCAGCAAAGGCCGAGTCTTGTGCAAGCTGACAAATGAGAAACTGTCTTTGCTGACAAATGCAAAATCGTCTATCTGCCAGACAAGACACCAATCGGGTACTGAAGCGGAGATACATCAATTCCGGAAACTATAACGTCCAATTCCGCCGCAGAAATCGGACGAAATCAGACGAGATCGGACGCTGGACCTAGACGATGCTTTGGTAGTAAATATTAGTCGCGCAGTTGTGAGTTGCGCTGATTCATTCAAGACTCACATAGCAGTTTGTGCGAATTAGGATTGTCGAATGCATTAATATGGTTAGACGAGTCAGACTTGGACTACAATCTTAGTCCCACTGACACCTGCTCTTAACGTGTTCAGCGCCTTATTCAGACCCTGCAGACCTCCAGCCTCAATCTGAACCCGTGGGCTGGGAAGGACAGTACCCGAATTTAGACCGTCTCGCAGCCAGACATGGAAGCACTTGTACATATGGTCGCTTCTTTCCGCCGGGTCCATAGGTGGTAGAACAAATTTGACCTCAGCTCCCTCGAGCGTCGGGGCTCCCGGGAGCAGAGGAGGGGCATGGGCAACCTTGGCGACTGCATCGCCCATGGTGTGTCTGAGCACGTCCAACGTGGGCTGCAGGGATCCTCCACGACGCAAATTGCGGTCCGTAGGGTGACGCCATCCTTCTTCACGGTGTCTATGATCTGTGAGACGACATCGCTCGCTTTGTAGTCGAAGACAACGTCAGCTCCGAGCTTCTTGAGGCATTCATGGTTTTTGGTACTGGCCGTGGTGTAGACGGTGAAGCCCATTAACTTTGCGGATTGAAGGGCAAAGGTACCAACGCTGCTGGCGCCGCCCCAGATCAGGACTGCCTGCTTGTCCTGAGGGGTATATTTGGTGCCGAGCGGGATTCAAGTTGTGGTCCAGCTCGACAACGCGGTCAAGACGGCCAAGGGGAGGACAGCACCCTCCTCGAAGGAGAGGGCATCCGGGAGCGCAATGACGCCTTCTGACTGAGCCAAGACATATTTCTGGAAAGCGCCATGGTCTTTGGAGCCGCCTTGATAGAAAGACGAGGCAAAGCGATCGCTCGGGATCCGGACGGAGGGGCATTGGAGACGTTGGAGCCCACCTTGACGACAAGGCCAGCCACATCGGACCCAACGACGGCGGGATAGCTGGGTGGGGGCATAGCGAATTCGCGCTGAAAATAGTCGACTGGGTTCACGGCAATGGCCCCCTGGCTTCGACGATTAGGACCGGGCTCGGGCGTGGCGCGGTCCACGACAGACAATGGACCTCCTTTCTGCGGGAGGATTGCTGCTTGGTGCTTCCCAGCCATGGATGCTTGACGGATGGTAGTGAGCTTGGACGAAGATTTGGAAGTGAAGGAGCGAGACAGATTGGAAGTCGGTGCATTCGGTATTTGGTGATGGTGCAAGAATATTAACTACAGTGCCTTACCAGGTACCTTACCCAGTACGTACCTAGCTCCGTATTTAAGCATGCGGACTTTAGCGCAAGGCCGTCAGGCGATGAAAAGACCTGCACACGCCAAGAAATCCCTTCACCTTGTCAGCTTGAATAACTCAACAAACATTCTTCTTATGAATTAGTCTTTGCGGAATAATATATTAGTGTCATCGAAATCCTTAAATCGCAACGTAAAATCTTTCTGCTAGGGCTCTTCGTTGTGAAATCATCATCTAATTTCTAATTTCAAGGTGTGCAGGTTTTTCTGTACAGGTAAGGTAGACTAAGATATTACTAGTGTCATCCGCTTTCAGCCCTAAATACATCTGAATTCTATCCTTTCCCTCGAACCTCACGCTTTGTCTTACTACAAGGCATTTGCAGTGCGGTCAGTTGACCGTATATGACTGTCAAATGACCGAGCACCAGAGTAGGTCTGACCTGACGTCACGTGTCGTATGGCAAATCCGCATCCCTAACCAACTCCACGCCTTTCCCCTAACTACAGGTCGAGCAAAGGTTAAGAGTTTTCTATGTCAGCTGCGAACCTTTTCGACTCTCGGACCCCCGCGCTTAGGGAAAGGTATAGATGGCATGGGTGAAGGACCTCTGTTGGTGCCATGATTGATGGGAAATCCCAGCTGTTCATAGCTGACATCTCAGCGCACTGCCGGACATCCAGATTTGACGGAAACGTGGTCCCTTGAACTATCGAGATATTACCATCGAAAAGTTTGGGTACAATGCCAGAAACGAGCCTTAAGTCGGTTTTAGTGACCGGCGCGAATGGCTACATTGGCAATGCGGTCGCGCGAGCCTTCGTACGTGCAGGGTGGATCACCTACGGACTCGTCCGCAACCAAGAGACCAGGGCGTCCCTCAGAGCAGACGAGATCATATCCATCCTTGGATCAGCAAGTGACAAAACCTTCGTCGAGAGGTCGGCAAACCAAACAAGATTCGTGTTCGACGTGATGGTCTCTTGTACCGAGCAGATCTCGGACTATGTCCCGCACTACAATGACACCATTGCCCTTCTACGAGCGCTTGCGAAAGCAAGCAGGAAAATGGGTATCCGTCCTTTAGTTATGTTTACGTCCGGGTGTAAGGACTATGGTACGACTGGTCTCGATCGGTCAGACAATCTGTCGCCGCACACAGAAGAGTCGCCGGTGAATGCACCGTCGCTCCTTGCCGCACGTGCATCCCACGCCATCAAGATCTTCGATCATACGGATCTCTTCGATGCTGTAGTTGTCCGTCCCACCACCCTCTACGGTCTCAGTGGCAGCTTCTACGGCCCAATCTTTGACGTAGCAACTAAGGCTGCCGAGAAAGGCGTGCTGGAACTTAGGGCAGACCCGAAAAGCATCATGCATGGGACTCACGTCGATGACTGTGCAGAAGCTTACGTTGCACTTGCTGAGGCTGATAGGAATGTGGTAAAGGGTCAGTGTTACAACATTTCAGGGTGGCGGTACGAGACACTTGAGGAGGTTGCGAATGCACTTGTTGAAGAGTATAAGATCAAAGATGGTGTCAAACACTTGCCGGAGAAGAAGAATGCGGCAGTGGATGTAGTGCAGATGTTGTTTGGCTTCAGCCAATGGGTGGGTTCTGAGAAGTTGAGACGCGACGTCGGGTGGAGAGACAAAAGACAGCCGTTCTCTGAGGCGGTGCATACGTACAGGAAAGCGTACGAGGCGGCTGTTGCCCAGAACCATGGCAACGTGCAAAAGATCCAAAGTTTCGTCCGTACGGCAGATGCTGGGCAGAACACCGGAAAACAATGATCAAACTTGTATATAGGGTTATGAATCGCTTTGGACTCGCCGATTTGCTATCATGACGTCTTCCGTTGTCCCGATGAATGCTCATTGTGCTGTCCAATCGGACTCCACGCTGCAGGGGCACCAGTGTATGGCTCTGTCTCCAAGGGGGCCATCCCATCGTCCATCTCTGTGCCACCTCCGTCAGCTTCGTCCTGCATTAGAAGACCTCCATCAAGGATTATCCTAGGCTCTGCGAAGTCGCCTTGAGGCAAACACATTTTAATATCGCCGAGCATTCGATCTGCGGCATCAGCAGTCCACTTATCGCCTTCCCCTCGTTGTCGCTGAACCTTTTTGGAGATGTTGTTACCACCAAGAGACGCTGCAGTGACAGTACTTTTGAAATCCAAGATATCGAATTGCGGCAGATGGCGCCAGAATCTCGCCCTGATACCTTCAATCACGATGACTAAGAGGATGACTAGATTGACCGGAAGTATGAGGCCAAGTACAAGTGGCTTTCCGAAAAGGTACGAACCGAAGGTGCCTGCGATGGTCGTGCTTGTTGTTTCATTGGCTATGGCGATCTGACCACTTCCGTAGATTCCGAGGATATCGTCGAGGATGGCATCGAATGAAGCTTCGGTGGCTCTGAGTCCGACTTCGCGGCGAGTCAGGTTACCGTAAGCGGAAGATTTGTACGTGGTATGCACGTTATACTCAAACGCGTCGCCCATTACCGAGACGTAAAGAGAGGGCCCCATCTTAGACAGAAAGTGTAGGGACGTAACAGTGTTATTAACAAGGAGTCCCGTTGGTTCAGGGTCGGTTGCCGCACTACCACTGGATTTGACGACGGTTATCGATGAATTCGTGACATTCGCTGTGACCGTGGATCTCGTGGGGATGAATTCCAGTGAGCATTCCGAATTAGCAAAGTCTCCGGTATACCAAGCAGTTGCTGCAATGCCAACCATATGCTGTCTCTGGTTATTGCTCTCGGCGAACCATGCAAAGGCTACGGCTTCCGCAGGATGCACACATTTCTCTTGACCATGACGACCACATCAGGATATGACTGGATCATTGGCCTTTTGAGTCATATTTGACAAATATCCTCGCAAGCGAAATACCCCAAGGTTACCTTAATTCATCTGGTATTCGATCTTCAGGTTATCAGGATGGCTAGTGTGATCGCACTGTACGCTTGCATTATAGCCAGTCTCTTCAAAGGAGTACTCCGTAAGCCGGAAGTCCATGGGAAGGTCACTGACGGATTCAAGCCCTAAAAAGGAGCCAACACCATAAGACCGCCCATGATATGTCCACTTTGGATTGTCCAGCTGTGAATGATTTCGAGGTGCACCATCTGGAGTTACGGCCTCTCGCGCAGTAGTGAGTAATGCATTCTGGTCGCAACAGTGGGACTGTGGGTTAGTGGGTCCATTATGAGGCCATAGCGTTGGTGGCTGTTTGATCAGCCGTCCCATCATTATGCGATATGCGATATCATTATGCGATATGCGATATGCGGGAGACAGGTGGACATGGCGAGTACTATTTGTATGGCCACTGCACCAGTAGTGGGCTCTTCATTCGAATTGTTCTCTTTCAGAGCCATATCATTTTTCTCCCACCCACCCACACCTGTATATAGCCTCATTTCACTCCAGGGCATGTCGCTCAGACATGGGAGTTTTTCTAGCGCTGGGGGGCTTTTCTGGGCTATTGGATGCCCAGAAAAGTCTTAGCTGCCCCGGTCTAGATATGCCCAATCATATATCTACATATCTACTTGTGCATACGTGATTTCTGTATGGCCTCACTGTTTGCGAGCACTAATAATATGATAGAGGACAATTGGACACGTATTCAAAGGATGATGGCTGCCTCTGAGTATGGCAATGTTCCAGGCGAAGACCCTTGTCTCACTGTTCGCCCCAATAATGTTTTGAAGCTTCAGTAAAGCTTGGAACCAATACGCTGCCAAGGTTCTTGAGCTGCGTGGTCGGTATTGGGGTGATAGCGCTGGCCCACAAGGCAGCGGGTCCATGGCCAAGCCCAAGAGCCAAAAAGACGAGCAGCCAGCTCTTCTTTGGCAGATTCCAGTCCATGCGAGGTACTGACAGAGCATTCAACAGTCCAAGAGTATCAAGCCTGACAGCTTTGGTAGGATGAGCTAGCCGCGTGCGCGCAGGAAAGATGCAAAGTATCGCCAAGACCGCGGAAGCCTGGAGGGTTCCCATTATACCAGATATGACTTGTCTCACTGCCGATACCGCCGAAGGATTGTCTGATATATGGCGGCGCCATAAACCGACCACGGAATGGTTTCGGTATTTGAGTAAAGTATCGAAAGAATCAAAGCAGGCAGCATAACAAGTATCGGAATACATTTCGAGAGAATGCTTGCTTTGGGTCCCGTGAGAGAAGAACGTCTTAGGTGTCTGGCTGCAGGGTTTCTCTTGGTGAACATATTTGCATTTGTTTCCCTCTCACTGCTGAGGAAGGTTCGAAGTGACGATGAACAGAGAATGGGGGAGGTTTGATTTAATGAGAATTGTTGCTCTTGGCCCGCATATCGTCAGGTCTCGTGTGTCGCATTGGGAACGCCAGTTATCGCCTCAGCCTCTTCGAAGAATTGATTATCAACTGCATTTCACCCAGCTGCGGTCGACTTGCCGGCATTTTGGCCAATGGAAAGGTCTTCGTGCCCACCGTATTTGGAGTATTGTTGATTATGTAGAGGGACAGCCTGATCCAGAGGAGCAGGTACTCGGCTAATGTACGATCTGTGCGTGGCGTGACTGTATAGGGTGCAGATTGAGTGTGGAGTCTAAGCACCGCTGGATACCCCGGTGGTGAGGCTTGTCAACTTTAATCCCCGGTTTATAGCAGACAAAGTGGAAGACATTGTCAGATTGCAGCCTCGTGAGCAGTAAGGCACTTCTCTGGTGCACAGTTATTCAAACTGCCGTGTATTGAATCAACTCTGCAGAAAAGGGAGGGGTGGAAATTTTTTCCTGCAGGTCAAAGTTGCTTACTCTAGTAGTTACGAGTAGGGGGTGAAAGATATTCTGCAATGCAGGTCAAAGTTGCTACGCCAAATTTCCTAAGCGCCTTGCAAGGAAAACAACGCTGTCCAGCCTTGCGTACCGTAATTCCTGCACGGCGTTCACCCTACACGCATTTCAGCATCTCTAGATAGTTAGTTGTCGGTGCGAAAGGAGAGTCTGGCGATTGTCATTACCCACAAAGATTTTAGAAAAAAGCCTCAACCATCAAGATTCATGATTTAAACGCTAGTAATTGACCAAGTTATCTCACAGCGTCTGATTGAGATGCATAGTCGAGGAGGTTGTCCATTAAGGTCTCTATCTTTCTTTCTTCCACGCTGATCCTCCATTTTCCATCAACAGGCGCGTGCGTATTGCAGGAGATGGAAACCCACTAGACAAGAACTCTGTGGTAGGCCTCGGGCCCGTGCCTTCTCCAAACGAAGCCTTACCATGAGACAGAAGTACTTTTTGAGCTGCAGGGGCTTCTGTAGACAAGATGGGCCTGGACGGAGGGTGAGAAGAACAACAGCAATGCAAACAAGGTTTCGTAATTCGCGGTAAAAAGCACATTCTCCAGGGGAAAAGGAGAACGACCAAGGTCAGGAAACCCGCGGTGAGGACTACGCGATCCCAAGTTCGTGATTTGATGTCAGGGTCTCTTATGGAGTCTCCAAGGCGTAAGCTTCAGGCCAATAAGGGTATCAACGTTGATATCGAGCCCGTCTTCGCCTTGAAGGACATTGCTCGAGTCGAAACCGTGCAATTCGTAAATGCTCAGCAATTCCTAGCCATTCTTTCTTCATCTCGGACAAGCCTTTTGAGAGAGGTGAATTGCTAAATGTTTCGCAAACTTCAGCTCTTTTCTTTTCGTTTCAGACCGGCGATTAAGCCATAAATGTGTGACAAATCCTGAGCTTGTCTTCATAAACTCGGACAACACTTTCGGAAATAGAATCATAAATGTTTGACACATCCTTGAGCTTCTCTCCTCGACTCGAGCTCTGCTGTCGTAGAAACTAGGGGATGAAGCGGTCAATGTTTGGCAATCTCTGACTCCTTCCCTATCTGGTCAGACATGACCTGAAGGGACAAACCCACGGTTGTTTGGCTACCCCCCAGTCTTTGTTCCGTGTCATCTTTCCCTGTCACTGATCCAGTCTGTGCGGTTTTGTATTCCAGGCGGTCTTAAGGGTGAGTAGAGAAAAGAGGAAAACTCTCTGCTTTCCTGTGTTTCCTTTCATATCCAGCATGCGCATACAGCAAGAGACTCGACACACTCTCTCATACCCATCAGCATTTGCACACACATACCCACACACACGCCCCCAAGCTTCCAAACTCAGCATTCACAGACCGCATACATCTCCGCACAAGTGAATCATCCATCACCAACAATATCAAGCCACCGGACAGTTGTCACGATGTCTCAGTCGCGAATTCCTCGGCCTTCTCAAGGCAGCTCCCGTTCCTACACCCCTTCCCTTCTCCCTTCGAATCCTACCCCAGTCAATTCTACCGGCTACCACGGCAACCCCGTTACGCGCGTGTGCCGAGTGATATTTCGCAACCCCGATCAAGGAGGTTATCCAACTATCACGGTCGAGAGGTTCGACGGCATAGGCGACCTACCAGGTCAGGGACCAACTATGGACCTGGTCGACGACTCGAGGAAGAACGAGGGTAGGCCTTGGAATATTTTGTCGAGTATTGTTGAAATGACATTCTTCCCCACCGGCCTCGGAGTTTTCGGCTACGAATGGAGCCGTCACCCCGACAATTAGAGGGTTTCTGGGAGGCGTCGGCGGTGTGGGTGAAGGTATGGGTGGAGCGAGGGAGGAGTTGGCAGGGCTGTGTCTCTCGGCAGCGGCGTCGATCAAGGGTCACCACGTTTCCACTTGGGCGCAGGCGCCAGACCTATCGGGCAGTAACGGCTTTTAATAGCGGGTTTTAGCTCGGCGTTTCGGAGGAAAAACCATGCGTTGTTGCTCCTGCGGTCTTTGTTTCAGCCTTATGTTTCAATACTCCTCTTTAATATCTGACCGTTTTCCCATCAACTTGGACATGACCTTAAGAGACCAAACCAACAGAAGCTTGGCAATTTGGGCGGCTTCGTTTCGTTTCGTTTCGTTCGGTTGCGTATCGTTTCAACCTCTCCAGTCTCTTACCGAGGCAGCACCCGTTTCTTCTCAACTCGAGCTTCGCTGTCACAGAAGCCATGGGATCACACCCCAAAAGTTTAGCAAATTGCACTCTTTTCCCTTCAACTCAGACACGACCACAGGGGGCCGAGACCACGGAGATTTGGCAACTCTTGCAGCTCGTTTTCATTTCATCCCGTTTCAGACCTTCCAGTCTCTTGCTCAGCCTGTGCTTTCTCGAATCACCTGCGGTGTGAGTCATGAGTATAAGATGGAAGAATCCTCCCTTCTCTTTGTGTTTCCTTTTCATATCTCCTGCAAGCACAGACAGACGGCCGAAGACTCTCCACACAGATTCGGACACACTAGCATCCACACACACACACTAGCATCTCCACACACCACCATCCACACGGCGGACCATCCTCTATGCACCGCACCAATCTCCACACAAGCAAACCATCCATCGCCAGCAATACCAAGCCACTAAACATCAGCCGCGATGTCTCCTTCCCCTTCTCATGGCACTCAAGCTCCTGAGGCTTCTCAAGCCGCCAGCCCCTTCTCTTCAGATGCTAGTTCCTCTGGATTCCCAACCGACAAATCTAAGCCTCCTACTTCCAAAGGGCCCAATACCGCCGAGCAAATTATCCATAAGGGCGCGGAGAATTATAAGCGCGTGTGCCGAGCGACGAAAGATGGATCAGAGGCAAAGCCTCAGTTCGTCGAGCTCTGGCAATGGGATGGCGAAGACTTGCCTGGTGGGGGGGAATGTACGATCTACTTTTACAGCGACGATGAGATAGAGGAAGTGGAAGACAAGCTCGGACCCTGGATTGACCCTCTTACTGGTCTGGGCGACACCGTTGAGGCAACCTTCCGCCGTCCCGTTGGGTCCGAAGGCGAGTTTGCGGTAATCATGACCGATCGTAAGAAGACCTAGAGTGATTCTAGGAAGCGTTGGCGATGTGGGTGGACTAGGGGAGGAGTTGGGAGGGCTGTATCTCTCGGCAGGGCCGAGGATCAGGGTCATCAGTTTTCGTTGAGGCGCAGGCGTCATGACCTATCAGAGAACGGTGGACTGCTCTGCTTTTAATGACATAATCCGGTTTGGCGTTTGGGAGGCAAACATGCGTTGCTATTCTTGTGATCTTTGTTTCATCCTTACTCTCTGATACCACTCTTTTGTTATAACATTAGACGCAGCCTCTCATGCCAAATTAAAAATACATGTAACCCAATTAACGGAACTCTTCATCTCCGACCGGAGGAGATCCAGGAGTATTTGCATGTTTCTTGGTCTGAGATTCAATGAATGACGAATACCCCTCTTTTGCCACAAGAATGCGGTCATGTTGACGGAGTCAGGGCGGCGGCAGTGGTAGGCGAAACATGGAGGCAAGTCGCTATACTACCGCGGAAGGATCGCGCCCCTCGCAGATTTGGCACCCAATGTCCACTTGGTCCGACGACAGCAGTAGCTGCGGCCTCTTCCAATTCCGTAGGAAGTGCGTGTTCAAGTATCTGTGTAAACGGAACTGGGAGCAGGTGATAAGACGGGTGCCTATTGAGAGCATAATCGATCGCGATACGAGGTAGCAATCCTAGCGTCAGCGTGCGTAAGGTGTCTCGACTGTAGGCTCTCAGCTGGACTGGCTACTCACGGTAGTGACTAGGTTCCATGCCGTTGATGGCAAAACCGGCAACGTTGTCCGTTACTAAATTGAAATGTCACGGGGCTGAGCGTAACTATTGATATTGAATTGCTTGAATTGCCGCAAATTGGTGGTATGATTTCTTGTTATAAGGTCGACGGTCGGAGATCAAGCTCACAGTTACTTTATGCTGTCAGCTTTTCCGTAGTCAATCTGATGTCGACTACCGCGACACCCTTTGCCTTGGGATATCGTAGAAGAGAGCGACTTACCTAAAGTGTACGCCGGCTGTGGGGAATCTTAAGAATGAGCAGTCGAAGTAAGGGAAACAGAGTCTTCGCGTTGGCCAGAGGTCTTAGGTAAGAAGCGCATCCTCCAGGTACGGGAAATAATCAAGGCTAGGACATTCGGAATCAGCTGTGCGACCGCGGGAAGTTGTGATCTAAGGTCGAGGTTCATGAAGGATTCTCTAAGGCGTTCTTTGAGGTCTTTTTTTGTCTCTATTCTATGCTAGCGCTCCGTCTTTCCCATTGATGCGAAGTTTCTGCTATGAACATGCACCAGAGATCTCTTCAGACTAGGACGAACGGGATTCCCTGTCACCTCGGTCTAATTGTTCGACGGACAGTGCTGTCCATTCGCTAGTTCTGCGACACCACATTCGAGAGTGATGGAGCTAGCCATCAGCCGAGCCAGTAGTTATGTAGAAGGTGTGAGTGGCAAAACTCATCCTCAGAACTACTTGCAGCGCCTTTGCATATTTTGCTAAGTACGGGAGACAAGCCGCTTGGAGATGGATAATCGTAATCGATGTTGTAAATGCGGAAGCGCAGGAAGTCACTGACGGCGGTGTGGACGACATGATGAGTTCCAATGTAGACGTCTCTGTAGAGGGGTGCCCCAATTGCAACAGTCTTAAGGAGGGTTGATTTCCGCTTTTTGTTCACAATGTCCACAAACATAGCCGCTAGACCCTTCACGAAATAGTCCATAGGCATCGCGGATCTTCCACTTATTTCAGGTAAGTTGCGGATGTTTAGCACCTTGAGATATGGCATTTTTCTGAGAAGCCTCGCAATCTAAAGACCGTCAGAGTTCGCATATTTTACGAAGTGAAGGTCAATTGTGTTACCGATTCATGGAAGTATTTGTCTGAGCTACTGATTGCCTCCCAATTAAGCGGTATCCCAAGGAGCGTCAATGATGGGCAATTCTGGGAGATCACCCTCAGGTTCCCAAGCTTGGAAGATAACAGAGAGGTTGAGGCATTTAATTGCGTTCTAGGTCCGCGTCTCTCATCCCACACAAGCGTTTCAAGCGTTTTGCCGTGGACTTTCAGGATTGGCTCAAGGTTCTGTACGGCCAGGGTTTTGTCAATTAGCACTTGAAGGTGGTTAAGCCCGCGAACGGATGTGAGAAAGCTTTCGAGACTGGTGAATAAATTCGGATCAGGATCTTCGAGCCTCACGAAAAGATTTCGAAGCGCACCGAGAGCGAGCCTTGATGAGTCTCCTTGACCCATGAGCAGAGAAAATGCTTGACTTAGTCCAGGGCACGATTCGAGTCTCAGCTCAATGACGTTGTTGAAATCGATGTGGAGGGCCATCATCCCTTGGATGACAGTCCTAAAGTCAAGACCACACAAATACACCGACTCCAATGACAGGTTTACCGGCGGCTCCAGACCTATTGCAGAAAGTGTTTTTCCAACATCAACCCCGAACGAGGCCCACATCTTATCATATTGTGGACGCCTATTAAGGGCGAAGTCATGGGCAATGCGATTTTTGAACCCGAGTTCGAGATGGTCCAAGGTCTCGGCATTTTTTACTAACATGCTGGCTGCCCACTGGCAACCACCACGGTTAAGATCCATACTCTCGACGGATAATCGGTCAATCCCTTCAATTACTGACCCCAAAACGTCGCAGGATGAGGATAATCTGTTGCAGAACAAGCTTCCCAGGTTGGCCTGCTGCGTCTCGAACAGAAGGTCTAGAGTCGAAACATTGAGCTCGCAACTATGCCCCCACCTGCTCGTCTGGTAAGCTATTGTCCGTTGACGGGACTCCGGTGCTTCAATCTAGAAGGAGGAGAAAAAACGTGCCTAAACAATTCCAGTCGATTTTGGGGCAGCTTGACGATTAGCAGCCGAATGAGAGTATTTAGGGCATTCGACGCCGAGCTTTGCGGAAGGTAGAACTGGAGCTTTGTCTCGGCCAGAACTTCCTCCGGGCGCCGGGAGTCCTCAAATTCTTGCTGGCTGTCGCGTAACGGATATTGTTGGGTCGCAATGAAGAGGTATTTGGTGTATTTGAGACCATCCCCAGTAGAGCCCAGAAGACCTTCCAACGAGGGCAACCGTGACCATTTTTGAGGCACTCTGATGACGACTTGGTGGTAAAGCTTAGGAAGGACAACCGCCTTGATGGTCTTGCAGGTTAGACATAATCTGTTGAGGTCAAAATTATTGACCTGCAGCATATTTTGGCATTAGATATTTGGTCCTCTCCCAACGCTTCGGGGTGAACCACTTACGTCTTCGAATATCATGCCCTGAAGTTCTAGTGGAAGTTCCACCAAACGCGAAGGTTTAAGTTCGGTCTTCCCTGGATCTTGCATTGTGGACTGAAAAGCTGTATTTGAAGTGAGTTGTTGAGTCCCGCCGGCAAGCATGGGCTGATAAAGTGAGATCAAGATTGAGTCTTGGTCACCTCATAGTATGCGAGAGACAAAATGTGAGCCATTGAAGGGACTTACAAAGTCAACTTCACATGTGCCTTGTTACAGTGGCTGATAGATGTCTTGTATATGAGACAGTGCCTCAGGGGGTCTCCAAACACGTGTCATTGAGTTGTGTTCAACTTCAAGATCGAGGCCCCGTAGCGCGTAGATAAAGCGACCAGCCCTTAACCGGATTGGCTCCCAACCATTTGCACGGTATGTCGATTTATCATAGCGGCAACTTGCGGAGGGCTTTTGCCGCTCCGCCATCCGAAATTCGACCGTGATGCGGAGAGACTGCATCAGAAACATCAATACTTATCGCCTACGGCTGGCCGGGCGTTGTATGTATTCCCACTTAGATCTAATGAAGCTGTTTTTCAAATCCTCCTCTGTCGTCCTCATGTATAGCGAGCCGAAAAATTCTTCGACCCCTCTAAGATTCAATTGACTTTCGCAGCAGGTCGGACATTATAAATTGAGCTCTGGTCCGCCCAATTCAGAACATTGAAGCTGTAGGCATCCTACATACGACCATCATGGTCTCCCCAATAACCCTCTGCCTGCGGGCAACTTCTCCTCTACGCCCTGTGAGTTCATACTCTTCATTGACGATGGAGCTGACCGCTCGTCCCAGTCCTCCCTCCACACCCGCGCCTTCTCCACCACGCTCTCTCGAAAAGAAATCAACAAAATTCTCCCCTCCGCCTCAGCCGCTCTCGAAAACATGAAAGGAAATACCACCCTCTTAGCCGGCGGGTTCGGCCTCTGCGGCGTCCCCGACACCCTCATAAACACCGTCCACGCAAACCCTCACATAAAAGGCCTTACCGCTGTCTCCAACAATGCTGGCTTAGTAGGCTCAGGTCTCGGTCTTCTTCTCGAATCGAAACAGATTTCGAAAATGATAGCGAGTTATGTGGGCGAGAACAAATTGTTCGAACAACAGTACCTAAAAGGCGAGATAGAAATGGAATTGACACCCCAAGGTACACTGGCGGAACGTTGTAGAGCCGGCGGAGCAGGTATCCCAGCCTTTTATACCCCAGCAGCGTTCGGCACTGTTGTACAAACAGGCGAACTCCCTTTACGGCATAATGCAGACGGCTCGGTGCAATCGTACAGCCAGCCACGCGACGTGAAAGTGTTCAATGGCAAGAGCTACATCATGGAAGAAGCCATCCGCGGGGATTATGCATTCGTGAAAGCATGGAAAGCGGACCGCTTAGGAAACTGCATGTTCCGCTACGCGGCAGCGAATTTCAACGGGGCGATGGGGCGGAACGCGAAAGAGACGATTGTCGAAGCAGAACATATTGTGGAGCCAGGTGATATAGATCCGGCGGCTGTACATTTGCCGGGCATCTATGTCAAGAAGGTCATCCAGAGTACGGCGGAGAAGAAAATCGAGAAATACAACTTCTCGCCAGATGAAGGGGCGGGCGCGGACACGGGGGCTCTTGGGAAAGGGGAAACGGCGGGAAAGAGAGAGCGGATTGTAAGGAGAGCGGCGAAGGAATTTAAAAACGGCATGTATGCCAACCTAGGCATAGGAATGCCCATGCTCGCGCCGAGTTTTGTCGACCCCTCGGTATCCGTCACACTGCAATCAGAAAATGGTATACTAGGATTGGGACCGTATCCGAAGAAGGGTCAAGAAGATCCGGACTTGATCAACGCGGGCAAAGAGACCGTCACATTATTGCCCGGCGCGAGTTGTTTCGGCAGCGACGAGAGCTTCGGCATGATCAGGAGTGGGAGGATCGATCTGACGATTCTGGGTGCTATGCAAGTCTCCGCGAAGGGTGATCTCGCGAACTGTGAGTCCTAGCCGATAAACCACCCATCCCGTGAGCCGTATCCCATGCTAACATGATGCTCAACAGGGATGCTCCCCGGCAAAATCAAAGGCTTCGGCGGCGCCATGGACCTCGTCTCGAACCCTCAAGAGACCAAAGTCGTCGTCACCATGGAACACGTCGACAAGAAAGGACGGCCCAAGATCCTGAACCAGTGTGCATTCCCCCTCACCGGCAGAGCCTGCGTTTCGAGGATCATCACCGATCTCTGCGTCTTTGACGTCGATTTCACATCCGGACTCACGCTCGTCGAGCTCGCCGAGGGCGTCACGGTTGATGAGATACGGTCGAAGACGGAGGCGGCGTTTCAGGTTGCGGATACTGTAGGGCCGATGTTGTGATTTATACCTTGAGTGGGTGACTGCCTTGGACAAATGGGAGATCGAATAGGGATGGCCGGCTAGAGCCTTGGGGGAAATGCATGTGGTGGCGTTCACTCGGGGGCATTGCTGGTCCGTAAAGTTAGAAAGACGCAAGCGAATCGAATCGAATCGAATCGTCGTAGCAAATAGACATCATTCATGCATGCAATGCGTGAAAACGGGAGCTCAGAAGCGCTTAATTTCTATGTGGTACTGTCATCCGCCCAAGCTCTTCCCGCAAGCACCCCATCCCTCCATCCAAGTCTTCCCTCCCCACCAGCCAGACCTCCCGATCCACCGTGCCATCCATCCCCTAGTTCGAGAACTTATCCGGCACATGTTTCCTAAGTGACCAAAGCCAATCAGCATCCCCACATCTTCCACCTCCCCACCGACAAGCAACAGGAGCATGTATATCGAACAATGGAAAACAAGAAAAAACAAAACAACAAAACCAAACACAAAAACCAAAACCAAAAAAAAACACAACCCACCCCGTAGCCTTCTCAAACATCCCCCTGGCCTTATCCGTCACCTTCTCATTCACCCCGCGCTCCTTCTGCGGATCGACCTTGCCCTGGCCGAATTTCTTCTCCGCCGCGTCGAGGCCTGGAGCTCGTCAGCGGTGAGGTTTCATCACGGTGGGACGGTGGAGGATGAATGAGGGCACGCGAGGGACGGTGGAGGATGAATGAGGGCACGCGAGGGACGATGGAGGATGAGGGCACGCGAGGGAAAAGGGGGCTAGGGAATGAGAGCGAGGGAAAAGGGGCTAGGGAAGTGAGACGGACCCTTGTCGAGGTAATCCTCCTGCCCGCCGGCGGCGTTACCGCCCTGTTGTTGACCTTGTCCTGCGTTCATGGTTGCTGGTGTTGGTGTTGGGTGGGTGGAAGGATAAGGGTGTGGGTGTGGGTGTGGATATGGAGATGGAGATGAGACGGTAAGAGTGTTAGGTGAGGGATTGAAGATGGAGGATGAAGAAGGAAATAGAAGTGGAGGGTGGGATTGTCTCGATGTTTATATTCTTGCTTTGCGCCTTCCACTTGGAGGGGTCACGCTTGGCACTCGTCACGCCAAGGGCGCCGAGACCGTTGCCAAGAGATAAAGTAAAAAGCATTGACGGACGATCCGGATCGGAGACATGATTACCCCGATACTGAAGATGCAGGTACAGATTCGCTGCTTTTCACAATTGCTCATTCAATCAGGCGGAAGCCTCCTCCCTGCGTTGCCATCTCGTTACTGTGGATCAAGACATCGCGCGGAAATCAATCAACCCCTCACCCACGTCAACCCCGCTTCCAATACCCATCCTTGTCTCGGCGGCAAAGACAGAGATATCGCTAAGATCATTGGCAATGTCCTCGCCGCCTATGGCTTCCCCATGAACGGCATCCTCACAATGCAACCTTATTCATTGCAGGCTTTGCTCGTTGGTGACGGCTATAGCAACGCCAAAGTGGCTGATGCACAGGCCCCCTTTCATGAGTATGCGCAAGAGGTGAGCATATTTAATGGTACTGTCGTTGTTGTGCGCCAGGGCGTGGTGAGGACAGATGGCGTGACGATGTTGGTCATTGGCGAGCTGAAAGCTCATTTCCAGGGGCACACTGCGAGTGAGGGACTTGTTGATCGAGTGTTCGCGATTTAGCGATAATGATTTGGCTGATCCAAACTCAATCGTCTTCTACGTCTCCATCGACACTCATGCTATCCACGTCGCTTTCTGTCTTAGCAGTCCCGACCCGCTCCAAGTCAGAGCTTGGAGGCTGACTTACTGCGGCAGCCTGGCTACCAGCACGAACCGGCTGTTGGAATGAATTTATTTCGAACTCCCTCTCTTGAGCAGCGATAGTGTCAGGGTCGAGTACTCGGGCGTTAGCGAGAAAATCGATGGAAGAATCATCGTCAGAGCCAGACGAGGTGGAGACGTAGGGTGATCTTTTACTTTCGTCTGATAAAGACCCGAGGAAGAAGTTCGCAGGCCTTGGATCGACAAGATCCTCTACTGAAGACTTTGCTGAAGCTTGAAGCTTCGCGCTGTAGTAGTCGACACAGAGGTCTTCGTCTTCGTCTTCATCTTCGTCGTCACCATCGCCAGATTCTGATGAAGAGACTGGAGGACAGAGGTATGAGGGCGGAGGCACTGACGAAGGTGGCATATTTGTCTTGACAGTTGAGACGATTTCACTCTTGATGGGGCCACGATTGGTTTGACTGCGCGGGATATCCTTGGCTTCACCAAAAGTGTTAGTGGATCCTCGTGGCATGCTGTGAAGCAGACGTCGAATCTGGCCACGTGAACTGGAGAATGGTGATTGCGCGCGTGAGCCTCGCCTCTTCACCCCTCCGTGACGCACTTGTACTTTAATCATGAAGTTATCCTCCGGCTGTATAAAACCAAGTCCTGAAGCCTCCATGGGAATCGGTGACATGGTTGAGAGGTCTGAGATCGAAGACCTCAGATCTTCGAGGTCTAAGGCGGAACGCGTTGCGACTGTGCTGCCGATACCTAAGTCCATTGACTCTGGGGCACCGTCTCCATCTGGAACATAGTCGCTCTCGCTCTCATCCAATTCCTCATCGTCCGCTTGTTGAAGACAACCAATCGGCTCTTGCGTATAACGGCAATAAGCAGCCCCATTATGCATTGCAGCATTTGATCCCCCACTTAGGTCTGTGCAGAATCTGGCCTTGTTGTAAAATATGATAGGCCCATTCTCCCGATTCTGCTTGCGCAGCTTCACTTCTGATTCACGGACGCCGTGAGAGCCAGAATTGAGTCCGGTGGCATTTTCCATGGGATCAAACGATGAGACTGAGTTAGTTACGTGAGCTGAGTCATCGTCATCTTCAGAGGTTGCACCGTGAAAGAAGAGTGGTTTGTAGTGGAACTTGTCCATATCGTTGGGCTGTTCCAAGTACACGGGTCGTCGTTTCGCTCCGACCTCTGGAGTTGCAGACAAACCAATGGTGGGAAGGTGAAGAGCACTCTTTTGATCTTGAAAGTCCTCGAGGCCCGCTCTGCTTGGTATGCCTGCCAATGATCCTTGTTTGCTGACTGACACGCTAGTGTCTGTGGATTTCCAATTTCCTGTGTCGTCACTTTCATCGCTGTCGGAACTCAATTTGGTCCCATCGGTTCCACCTTGCCATCTGACCTTCGTACCGTCCGTGGAGAGCTCAAACTTGGAGCTGACATTGGCGACAGCATTTCTGATGAACTCCGGAGTCACATTTAGCGTATGCAACTGTGCCATGCTTGTGAGCAGATTGAGGAATACCCATCCGTCATCCGAATCTGGTTTGGCATCTAAAGTCGCTGTTGGTGATGCAAGACCCAAGTGCCGAATGTACTCGATATTGTCTGATGGCACTTGCGCGCGACGTATGTCCAAGTCGAGTGGGCGTGTAGGTCGTTGATCCGGCGCGAAACCACGACTCGCCCGCGGATCTCGGGACCTGGAGTCCTCGCCATCAGTGCTTTGACGTGATTGTTGACCGGTCGGGTTTGTTTCGCTTGAAGAGTCGATCTGTGATCCCGCACAGCGCAGAAGAATGCGAGCCTCTCGCATGCCTTCTGTCAGCGGGTTTCGGCCGCGGCTCTCGACAGTCTGTTGTGATTGTTGAGCAGCCAAGTTGGCCTCGCTGAGGGAATCCACTTTCAACTCCGCGCTGTTAGGCAGGATACAAGCCTCTCGCACGCCTCCTCGGATCGGTTGAAACTTGCGGCCGCAATTTTCAAGTGGGAGTCTATCCGCTTGCGCAGCTGATTGCAACACTGCCTGCGGCTGATGAGACTGAACGTGTCGGCCTGCTGCCCTATTGCCGGTAAAAATCTGTTCGAGCCTTCTAACCACTAATCTACTTTTAGCCCTCTCAGACAACGGGAGCGAATGCTTTGGCACTACTGTTTCTGGTATGTGATGAAGGTAAGATTGCACATCATGCTGTCGTGAATGGCACTGAGCCTGCCTGTCTTTCTGGGCATGGTCGTGCGACTGCTTTTGCGAGGCTCCTGTCTGGCCTGACATGGAAGCATACGCGGAATCCACGGGTTTAGAGCCTTTGGAATAAGAAGTTGAAGAGGACGATGGTATGTGATTTTTCAAAGCTACAGCAGTGGTTTTGAAGCTCCCAGGTTTGAAGAGGGACGTTTCGGGCGACTCTTCACTACTGGAGGCGAAGCTCCGCAGAATCTCCTCCAACTCGCGTTTGCGATGGGCGGCCAGTCCATGTATTCTGACCTCAAATAATTTTTCCTCCTGCAGATGAGAACAATGGAGTCTTTCGTATTGCTTTAGCTTCTTTCTGAGCCTTTTGTTTTGTATTGTCAGGTCGTCGATCACACCACGAAAGTCCTCACTATTGCTTTCCTTCGCCTCCATCTGGGCGAGCAGAGACCTTGTCGGAGCAGTGGGTTGGCCGGGGTTGGAAGGGTTGAACGAGGATCCATCAGAGTGTACAGCACAGGCACTGTTCCCAGCGGAGTACGTCCTTTCGTTGAGATAGAAAGGCGGATCGTCTAACAACAGGTGAGCAAGGTGCCTAGACATTAAGATGCGCAAGTGAGACTCACTATCGAGGTATGGGACATCCTTCGTGCCGGAAGCATTGTTGTTGGTGTCGTTGAACCATCTCTCTGCTTTGGCACGACCGCCTGTTGCCTCATACTTCCCCACTGCTGCGGTCTTCGCTCTCTTCGACGGGCGTGGGTCCGAGGAATCGGAGATCTGACGAATTGACGATTTGGGGTGCCGGGACAGCATTTGGAGTTGTGGGGAACTCAGCGCGCTATCCTAGCCTAATATGGTAAATGACTGGAGCCAAGCAGACTCCCACTTTGCCTTGTTGCACTCCCTGACGTGTCTTGCGGAGCGATCAGAGTCTGATTGCTCGATCTTCTGGAAGTCGACCCATTTTACCAGCGTGATCGGGTCGAATTAGTAGCGAAGAGATGGGAAAGAATTCGAGGAGGGAAGGTGTCTCGCAGGTCATGGAGATGGGATATGGCTGGCTGTTGATGCAGTATATGTAGGCTCTGGAGGGGTAGACCAGGGTAAGTTGTGGGGTGGGTTCGTTGCTGGAGATGAGGATGATGCAAAGTTGCCAGAAGGGTAGGGAGGGCAGGAGATGGTTGGAAGGAACATGTTTGCGCGCTGCTCTTGAGGAATAATGATAAATAATGAGAGGATCGAGGCGGAGGATGCTCCTTCGGAAGGCATGCATCCAGCGGAACGAGGCATGGTGGATCACTGGATCGAAGATTTTAAAGTATTTTTCTCATTGGGCCAGGGCCAGATGTAAGTCGATGATATTCGATCTTGAGGAACTTTTCTTCCAGAGGTTAAAGAAGGGTGGCACTAGCATGGAGATCGGACCAATCAAACACGCTGAGTCAGCGAGCCGCATCGACGATTGTTCGACGATTCTCGTTTAATATCCTCAAACCTTGCCATCTGTATCCCGTAGTATGGAGTATGGCAAGTTCCTTTGGGACTATAAGTATGAATCGACGATGGAATAGAAAAGATACCTAACTACCTATCCCATCACGTTGCATGATAATGATAATGATAAGCGCTCAGGATCAGATGAAATAGATGATTTGCCAAATGCCAACTTTTCTCCACCCTTCACCGCCATGCCAACTGAGAACCTTGGACCCTTTGACCTCTTGCAATCATAAAGTATGGGAAAGGAAGGTTCAAGATGCTATCCCTCCGACGCTCCCATTTCTCGGCTAGAGCACGGGAGACGCCGGAGAGAGAGACCAGATGCTGCATGGAAATCAATAATTCCCCACTGGCACTACTCTAGACATTCGCCATATGCCGCCGCCTCGCAAGAGCATACTACTGCCCAGTTTGGGGGCCATATCAACGGACGGCCGTAGAGTAGATCGGACAATAGTAGGTCTGTCGATGAGGCTTGCACCTTCTCAATAGTAAACATGATTGCAATCAGATGTTGGCAATTCTCTCTTGAATGTCTCTTGGTCAACAGCTGGACAGGGCACGAGGCAACCAGGATCAAAATTTTACCACTACATACTCCGAAGGCATCTTTCTCCTCAAGGGTATCTTTCCTATGGCAATGGGATCTAAGTAACGTTTGGCTGCACCTCTATCCCTCGTGCCATCCTTCTTCCAACCCTGTTGATTTACTCTGTACTTCCGTGTGTGCAGATTCGCCCTCTCGAACAGCTCCTGCTTTCGTAGTCCGAGTCAGCGCTAGATGAGAAGGAGTATTTCTCTAGGCACCATCGCATTCCACCTGCGTGAAATAATATACAGATCTCTGGATTTCCTCCTCTACTCATTCGGGCAAAGCGAACCGGGCAGTTTGCTCAGCGCAGAGCCAATTTGTTATAGGATCCAATCGTCAAGAGTTCCCAAATGGTCCAAGACCGAAGTTTTCTCCTGGGCCTGCCGGGACCCAATATCTGCACGTCCATCAAACATGAAGAGTATAAGACCAAACCATGCAGTGCGGGAATACTCGACCCATGCGCATCATCACCGACTGCAGCATGGTCCGTTTGAGAAGGCTCCAACTGCTACGCAAACACTCAAACAGTCAGTCACCAGAAAGTCTCCGGACCAGACGGCCAAACTCTGCCCGCCCTGACGACTCCGGCCGACGAGACTAGGATTGGACTTGGGGACTATCATCAATCAAGACTCCGGACATTTGCGGAGTGTCTCATGCCAGGGAGGCGAAACTCGAGGTAGAAAGTCAAGTCTTTAAGCGCCACCTCTCATGGACAGAACTACCTATCCGCTCCGTTCGATCTGGCGCCAATGCGGCTTTCGCTGCTGCGACCGCCACATTTTGCATCTCAATTTCCAATCATGCTTTGCGCGATGGTATCATATACGTCTGGACTTACTTATGTCTTCTGCGATCGCGTGCGGGGGCAGCCAATCACAAGTCGCGCTTTTGTCTCACATGGCCTATGGTGGCAACATCTGTCTTTACCTACCAGTTTCACTAGTACCACGTGCGGAAGCACCCATCGCGAGTCGCGCGTCTGTCCGTCCAAGGCTTTTCACACATCTCAAAGATCCTTCCCGAGATCTCAAACGTACTTTCGAGTTTCGAAGACATTCCTTATGCAACCCCACATCCAAGAATCTAGTATCCCGACCACTATGCCGGGCCCCGTGTTCTGAGTTGAAGTTTTTGCATGTGCTTCTGTGCTACTTGTAGGTATAGGCTTGAAGGTAGACTTGTTCATCTACCAATAGAACATTTGCCAAATGGCAATGTCGCGAACCCGATGATTCAGATCATTTCTCCACGGCCACTCACAATGCGCATATCTATAGCCTAGTGGAATTGGGGGAGTAACGTGACCCCGCCGTAATGGTTACATCGATTGAAACACTCCTTGATCGAGTATGATACTCGCATACGGGATGTGGTCCCGCCTGGCCCGATTAGATGTCTGCCGTTAGGTCGGGCTGAAATTGTTTCTACGTTCTCATCGACGATGACAACGGTTTCGACGAGAGTGTCTACCATGTCAGTGGGCTTCGATTGGAGACGCGTAGCGAAGAACGGCCAAGAGGTTCTCCGAAGACGTGAAGGCACGGCATAGAGGTTCTGTAACCTCTTTGCAAAACACAATGGTACGGGTCACAGAAATCAGGCTCGGGGTCTTCTGTAGGGAAACTCGAATGGTACATTACATCCCGTCAGTGTGAAATATAAGTACAAGCAATTCCTCGGATTTTTGGATCTCTATCCTTCCGATTCCTATCGATTCATACATCAACGTTCACAGGCAGGACCTGGGTTCACCTCGCTTGTTACTAATTCAGCTTTCGACAACTCACCATGTCCAGCCTTGCCCTTTTCACCACTCTGACCCTCGGTGGTCTCAAAACCTTGACGATGGCCAATCCAATCGCCCAACAAATTACCCCAACTACACAACCAGATGGTTATCAACCTGGCTACTCGACTGTGAGTCCTTGTCCTCCGACCCCCACTGCCCCCCTTTACACACCACGCCACGCTCGGCCTAGACCCTGCTTCCTGAAACCAAGCTCACCTTTATCTCCATGTACAGCAAGACTGGGAACCCTACGGCCAACAAAGCGCCTGCACAATCAACGGCGGCGTCTGCAGCGCCCCAACACCTCTCTTCCCCACCACCTCTGGCCCGGATCAGCTGCCGTACGGCGTCTACGCAGCGGCGATGGTAGGACTTGGGCCCGACGACTGCACTGTCTGCGGGACGTGCTATAGCATCATTAATTCCGGGACACCGTACTGCGATCCAAACGGTCCTGCTTGCCCGACTGGGTATATCTGCCTACGATTCCATCCTTTTGTGCCGTGCTGACGATGTTTGGTGCAGCATATACAGCGGCAATGAAGAGCAAGATGGGCCATCGCAGATTAAAATTTTGATTACGAACCATTGTCCCGATTGTGCGATGATCAACGTAACTGGGCAGGTTCAGGGACACTTCGATATCAACCTCGCACCGGGTGGTTGGGATAATGCGAAAATTTACTACATGCAGCTGGACGATTCCGAGTGTACGTAGTATGCCACTGGCTGGGGCTTAAGGTTTGAGGGAGTCTTGCTGGCGGTGCCATCCCGCGTCTCCAGGATTGAGCTGGGCTAGTTCTATTCGAGTCGAAGTCAGGGACTTCAGACCATTTCCCTTTCGGTACCGGTGTCTCCAGGGTTGAGAGTTTCTGGTCTCTTTCGAGTTGGAGTCAAAGATTTTGAATCATTTTCCTTTCTGTATGAGCAATGAAATGAAATAAGTAGGCAGGATCTTAAGCAGATATTCAAAATGGGTTCATGGTCCAAAGATATCGCTAAGCAAATTGCCGAAGACTAGCTCCCATGCTGAGGAGACAGTAAGGGAAGGATCTGTACGTAACTGTACTGCAACATGCATCAACTGGATATACATTTTATGAAGACGGTCCACCAAGTGTGATTTCTGTTTCAAGACTCGAAATATCCAGCACCGTACTCTTTGCCAAGTTAGCCATCGCCATCGCTATGCATAGTCGTTACGAGCACATTTGGTCAACCCCCCCAGCAACGCCAAAACGCTCCCTGCGACGCATGCTATACAGGTCTGTACACGTCCGGCATCTCACGAAAAGCGAAGGGACCCCTTCCACCTGATGACCATGCTCTGAAACCAAGACCGCGTTGGCGCCTCATTAAGCTCCTTCAACAGGCCATCGTAGTAGTTTGGATTCGAAGCCGGTCTCATCATCTTCTCAGACAATGGGTACTGATTCCGATACTCGTCAGTCATTGCTACATCCATTGTCCCCCCTCCAAGTATGCAGCGAATTCGTACCGTCTTTGTATACCGGTTTTCCAGGAACGAATAAAGCACATTGACCTGCTCCAGCTCGCCCTTCTCATCAAACGCTACCTTTGTCGGTACCGTCGCTTGAGCTTGATTGAACACAACGTTATCTTCAGGAGCCGTTGTCGAAGGCTTGAGCCGTGTATCTATCCGGCGCTGTATGGCTTTCTGGAATGAGACTTCCGGGCGAAGGAGGTCGACGGGCCATTGGGTGAGGATGCGTTGATAGTGTTTGTATACAATCTGTAGGGCAATGTTGTTAGTGAAGACAAGCACAGTAGAGAACAAAGGTTGCCTTCCTTACAGACTTTGCCATTGTCACTAAGAACAATACAACAGGTATCTACAGCTACCTACAAAAAGAGTGAAGTCGAAATCGTATTCGATGTCTTTGCCAAGAGCCAAGCCTTGTTCTGGTGGCGGCCGGCTGATGACCCATCGACTCCTCCCCCTAAACAAACGAACCTGCTGGAATCCCTCAAGCATTTCATCAGCATACTACCACGACTGGATCCATTTGAGCCATTTAAAGTACCCTATACCTACATCTCGACTCTAGCTTTTCTTTTGACTGGTAGAAGAAAGGTTGGAGTGAGTCTCACAATGAGCTCACAGAAGTACGAAAGGGTGAGCCTCATGCTGTCGCATGCCCCTGTGCTTCCTCTTTACGTCTCTGGTAAGGCGGAAGCTGACATTCGTCGACTACAGGTGTCTGCAAACGACGAGGAATATTGCCAAGATACTTCTCAAAGACCTTCTAATACAGAGGCAACTCCCTCTTCTCCACCGCCTTCATTTCGCTCCCGCGCCTCCTCTCCATCATCCCGACACCTACTCTCCGAAGACCCTATAACAACAGAAGCCGAGAGAACACTGGCGGATACTTTCGACGACGGATCCGATTCAGATGACGATGGGCATAATGAAGGAGACGATCGCCAGCGCCTCATGCGGGCCAGTACCCATCAATCCCAATTAGAGCAGCGAGCCGTACACGATGGCAACGGACCAAACTTGTCAGGAGCTGTCACAAGACTTCCAGTTGTGGTACATCCAGTCTCATCCAATGTTCCTGCCAGACCCTATACAGGCGCTACACCCTATTCTACCTTCTCCCACTCCAATGACGGCGTGTTTGCAAATCTAAACGCAAAGCCAGAACGCGGCGAAAAGCTAGAGGAACAACCACCGGTAAGCACTCTCGTTGCGATATGTCTTTGGCGGGCCCTGCGCTAACTCTGTTCTAGTCCTACGAAGCCGCTGCTGCGGACGCTACACCCCCTTATTGGGAAACCACCATTCTGGCACCTGGCCACCTCGCATCAAGCGACGAAGTTTACGTCGATGGTCTTCCAGTCGGCTCCCTCTTCAGCTTCGTATGGAATGCCATGATTAGCGTATCCTTCACCCTCGTCGGTTTCCTACTGACCTATCTGCTCCACACCACGCACGCTGCGAAGAACGGCTCAAAGGCCGGTTTGGGCATCACACTTGTTCAATACGGATTTATGATGCGCAGTGGCAGATCTACGGTACCTCCTCCTACAAATGGACAAGATCCGGCCTTCACAGCACCGCAGGATCCAAATAATCACGACTTCGACCCTAACGCCGTCTCCGACAGTGCAGCTGCCGCGGCCGCTGCAGCTATTGCGGAATCCTCTCAGCAAGCAGCAGCGAGTGGTGCGAACAGTGTAGCAAACAGCGACTGGCTAGCATACGCATTAATGATCGTGGGATGGTTCATACTCATCCGGGCGGTTAGCGATTTCTTCAAAGCAAGGCGGCATGAACAATTGGTACTGCAGAGTCCTGATCGGGGACTCAACGTTCCTGTCGTTGCGGATACTGAGAGGCCTGAGGAGGTGGTTTGAGGGTTCCGTTTGACGGCGCATTTCGGAATGGCTGAGTAAGAGCTTGGGTATTGGCGGGTAAGCAAGGCGTTGATGCATCATGTCTGTTGTACGAATTTGATTATCTTTTATGAACGTCTCCACATTCAGCTTGTTGTCTCTCTGTTGCGAAGAACGTGTCAAACCCGAGTATTTCCTTCATTCGGTTACCCCTGCGTTATCAATCGTCCGGCTTCGGGTAATCCCTAAATTGCGTCACTTTCATGAGGCGGAGCTTCTGACTTCGAAGTTCTTTTTTGCCGAGTCACTTCCTTGCTTCTTCATGCTCATGCTTTCATACCATCCGTTACCGTGCCCTCGATTACCTCATGTCTTCAACAGCAATGGCGTCCCTGCGCCCAATTCGACGACTTCCTACCCCCTTGATTGATAGCATCACTTACAGGTCGCGTCCAGCGACACATTGCTTTTCGCAATCATGTCGTAATAGAGCTACAGTCGGCCTAGATGCCCTGGACGCGAGTAAAGGCGATCGCGAACGCATCGTCATCCTGGGCTCCGGCTGGGCTGGTAAGCTCGCTGTTGGCCCCCAAAAAATCCTTCCATTGACAAATGGCACATAGGCTACGTCCTCTCCCAACGTCTCTCCGCCAAATACCAGACCCTCGTCATATCCCCCCGCTCCTACTTCGTCTTCACTCCACTCCTCAATTCCACAGCAACGGGCACCCTCGAATTCCGAACCGCGCTTGAGCCTGTGCGCTCAAAACGGAAACCGAACATTGAGTTCATGCAAGGCTGGGCAGACGATGTGGATTTCGGGCGAAAGATGATTACGGTTGAAGAAAGTGTAGTAGACCCACATCAGGGTAAGGCGATGGCGGAGGATAGGCGTGAAGATCACAGCACTGGGGAAGTGAAATCGGAGAAGAAAGGGTTGCGGAAAGAGGGCAAGAGGTGGGAGGTATCATACGATAAGTTAGTGGTTACAGTCGGTTGCTACTCCCAGACGTTTGGTACCAAGGGCGTCAAAGAAAACGCCTTCTTCATGAAAGATGTTGGAGACGCACGGCGCATACGAAAGCGAGTACTCGAGTGCTTTGAGGTTGCCAGCTTGCCAACTACAAGTGAAAAGCTCCGTGAACAGCTTCTGCGCTTCGCAATCGTAGGCGGCGGGCCCACAGGTATGGAGTTTGGAGCCGAACTCAGCGATCTGGTACATCAAGACCTCAGCAAGCTATACCCAGATTTGGCACCAAAAGTGCGCATCGCAGTCTACGATGTCGCGAAGACTGTTCTCAGCATGTTCGATGAGAAACTCGGCAAATACGCAATGCAAACATTTCGCCGTGAAGGCGTTGAAGTGAGAACCTCACACCACGTGCAGGAACTACGCCCTGGTCTTCCACGTACCGGCTCCGATGAGAACATGGACGATGTGGCTGACTCCCAAGGCTGCTATACCCTCACCACTGAAGAAGATGGCGACGTAGGCGTCGGCCTGTGCGTCTGGAGTACGGGCAACATGATGAATCCGTTCGTGCAAAAAGCACTTGACAAGACCTACGGCTTCCCTTCCTCCTCCGCTTCCATCACCGACGGCAAGCAACCAGATGAGCTGGACACGAAAGAATGGATGATAGAAAAGCACCCCAAAACCGGCGCCATCATCGTCGACGACCGTCTCCGCGTCCAACTCCACTCCAAAACCTCCCCATCCTCCGACGAGAAACCCGCCTCCTCAGCAACAATGACGGACGTCTTCGCCTTCGGCGACAACGCCATGATCCGCGACGCCCAGCTGCCCGCTACGGCGCAAACCGCAGCCCAGCAGGCGCTGTGGCTGGGCAAAAGGCTGAACAAGGGCGATTTGGAAAGCCAGCATTTCACGTTCAAGAATCTGGGGATCATGACTTATTTGGGGAACAGCAAGGGCTTGGTCCAGACAGAGGGGTGGCTGGGGGATATCAGTGGCAGGGCGGCTTGGTTGATTTGGAGAGGCGCGTATTTGACGATGAGCGTTAGTTGGAGGAATAAGATTCTGATTCCGGTCTATTGGTATGTCTATTCCCTCTATCGTTGGCTCTGAAAGGGACATGAAATGGATGAGCTAATGTGACGTATTGTAGGTTTTTGAATTGGGCGTTTGGAAGGGATATCACGCGATTCTGAGCCGTTGATCCTACATATCCCCTCTTATTAGTCGCCGAAACCTTGGCTCGCTACTCCCCCGTAGATCAAAATACCTGATTGAGATGAAATCGGACTCCCCTCGCTCCAATTGCATGAGTTTCGCTCACCCAACGGCTGTGGGACAGGTAGGATTTCCGTGCATTTTGACAATAGCAGCCCGAAAACGGACGAGGTTCCTTGTCCATGGAGCAGACGAAAGTTTGCGCTATGAATCAGGGCTGTCATTTCCTTGGGCTTGGTATCTATGCATGTGTTGGATCGGGGAGAGGATGGCTTCGGAAAATGGCACTTTTCCATCTTTGTGCGGATGTGGTCAGACACGGACTGGGTTCGGGACGGAAGGTCGGCTCGAAGAATCAAGACTCCTGCGCCAAGATCTCGGATATTGCCCGGGCTGTCTGAATCAGAAAAGGCTCAGAAGTGCTCCGAAATGTACACCTCGGAGTCTCTCCTATTCGTCCTTGGTTGCATCGGTCCGGCATTGGCGGCGACCTCGACCTCAACGCAGGTGCAGTCAACCGCCACAGCCAAGTAAGACAAATTACCATGTGAGGTAGGAAGCCAGCATCAGAAGGCGTCCTTACTCCTTCCACACACTTGTTTGAAAAGGAATTCCAGTGTTCGCTTCTACTAACCTCGTAAACAGTGCTCCGGTAACCAGGCTCCATGGACGCGCACGGCGACATGGCTTTCAATATATCACAGTCTCTGGCAAACTAGGTGTCTAACCATTTTTATAACAGGAGCTGGTCAAAAGCGGCTGAGTGATCACGACGGACAATGTCTCACAAAGTCCGCTCAATTTGGCCTAAACTATGCTGCCTCAAGCGGCAGTGACCTCCAAGGTAGCCTACTACGGTTTCCCACCGACTTCTCTTCGCAGAGAGGTCCATTGGCCACTGCTATGAACTCGATAGCAGTGTTCTTCCAAAATCCTCCACTGTTCGACCCGAATGTGTTCTCGGGAGCACGCAAACTGGTCACTAATTGACCTTGTATTGCAAGACCGTTTTTATAGAGACCTTTTAGTCACCGGCAGTTTCCACAATAATAGTGACAAACACTGAATGCTCCTGTAACGGTGAGAATGTGGATGTCACCAGCTGGACATTCAGCGGACCGACGACGGTTCAGTGCGCAAGTGGGCAAACCGCACCAATTCCAGCCATTCCCCTCGCACCTATTCCTGCTTAGAAAGTCGGCTGTTATACGTCCGCATTCACTCGACCGCGCTACGGCGATCAAGTCATACGTCAACTAGGCTACCGATTCTCAGGTGATGCAGCGCAGACTTGTACGGATATGCCCTGGGGAAGCAACTGAACCTTATCCTTTTGGGTAGGTAAAAGACCGAAGCAACATTTGCACCGTCCTTTGTAAAGCCGGGTCGTGAGGCATGGTCCTCGAGCCAAGCGTTCATTTGGATTCTTTTCCACACCCCAGCCTTGTCTTATGACCCCCTCCCCCTCTCACAGAATCAATGCTGATTCCGGGGTTTTCTAGATTCTACGTGTCTTTCACTGACGGTGACTGGTGTGCTACCGTTTCGGACAGCCCGTGTTCCACTACGACCGATAACAACGTTCTGACCTTCTGCGGATCCGGGGCAGACTGCTGCTCATTTGTTGGGGAAGACTATGGCTGGCACGCCCGCGATACTCGTCCCAATACACTATCCACAACGGTGAGAGTATTCACAGTTCCATAAGAAGCACGCCACGAGGGGCTATCCCATCGTCTGGCGCCTTGGAGGTAAAATGTCTTGGCAGAATATTAAGATACCATACTTTCGCAGCCCAATAACTTTCTAATGATAACCTTTACAGTAAAATTTTCAGTTGCGAAGTTCAAGATCTGCTTAAGAAAAATAAATGCGAAACTATAAACTTTTCTATGGGGGTCCTCGTTATTGAGTTGTGGTGAGTTGCAAGACGGGACTTTTGATGTTCGGTCGGAACCCCTGAATTTTACCCCCTGCCAGACGATGGGATAGCGTGCGCAGATGGAAGCGATTTCGAATAGCGGATCCTCAATGGTCTAAGGTATGTGCGAAAGGAAAGCACCATTTTCTCAAAAACGGCCTTCTCCTGCTATCTTTCCTTGTCGCCTCTGCGTGTGAAGGGGAAAGAATCGTGTCAAGGACTCTTGTCGACATGAGTAGTCAGTGGCTTCTGTAAGAAGGTATTACCAGCAAGTAATCGCAGCATGGTCGGAGTCGGGCTCTCGCGGCCAATCAAAAGGGGCAGAGGTCGCGAGTTTTTGCCCTCTCTGTGCTCTGTTATCAGGTGTGTTTGATACAGCGACCGAAGTACTGATCGGAATGGAAGGTACGGCGTGGACCGATGACGGTAGACTCAATCAATGTGAAATGTGAAACCGGTGTCAGCACCCTGAAATTAAAACCGCATTAACGATCTGGAACCCACCACCGATCGGTCATGCACAGTGTTCCAAATGACGATCAAGAGGCTTGATTCCGCATTTTTTCTGTATGGGACGTTTCCTGAAACGGTTTTTCGGCGTCTTCCTTCTCGCAAGATTTCTGCGCACAAGGTATCTGGTCTTCAACCTTGAATTTACCATTTTGTCAGGAAGATCCTGACCATCATGTTCGCGTTCCAGATCGCACTCACTGCAATCATGAGGTGTGTTTCGAAATCTTCCCTCCACAGCCGTGTCTTTAAGAGGTTCGTGTCTACCATGGAAGAAAGGAGTGCGCGGACCAGATACTCCCTCGACCCGCCCCCTCGTTGTCCCACAAGCACAAGCACAAGCCCACTAAACCCGACCCTCACTCACACCAACACCCCACCACAGCCTCCTCTCCCCCTCGCTCGCCTTGAGGCCCCTCCAAGTCGTCCGCTTCCCCAGCACCCTCTCCGCCAGCTTCACATCCTCCAACTCGACCGCCGCAAACTCCTGCCCAACGGTCACATCGACCGTCCGAGCTCACGAGTGCTTCAAGAACGTGCAGGTGTGTCCTGATCCCAGAACGGTCAAGACGACAACGGTGCCGTGCGGGTGTCCGGCCGGTGCTGCGGCGACGACGGTGACGGCTTGTCCGGGGTGTGGTGGTGTGAGGTAGGTGCACTTTTCGGAACGGGGTCTTTCCAAGTTGATACTGTGGCTGGAGTCGGGAGCAATAAACTTATGTTATGTTGCTCACGGAATATGTCTTGCAATTCGCATCTTGTGCATCAAAGATGTCATGCTGACTCCGAAATGTGCAGGTGGACGACTGTGACGGCAGGGGGGTGTTAGAGGTAGCTGGCCATACGGGGAGGTTGGCGTTGTGTGGTGTATAGAGGTCGAAGTGGAAAGGGAAAAGAAGGGATATTTTGTGAGAGATTGGTGGAGTCGGTGAGGTGGGAGTTTTGTTGACTTCTTTCGATTCGTCGCACATATCTTTTATCTTCTATTGGGATCCTCGCACTCAAATCTGGACCCTCGAACAACTACCATTCCCCGAAGCATGCAGCGATCTCCCTGCTTGATCCCCAAATTTCCCGCATCAACTTCTCCCTAGGGCATTCGAGTTGTGATACTCAAATGCTTCATCCCACACAAAGAGCTGACTCCGCTGTACTCACAGACGCAACCGCAAAGTTGAGCACATGTGCTAGGGTCTGAGCCCGGGATCCTTCTGCAGCCGCTGTCCCTAACATGATGGCTATCAGCGATCATGAGAGGCAGCCCTGTGTTCAAACATGAAGGACAAGCATCGCATGAGAATCTCGAAGGGTGAGCTCGATCTTTGTGCGCAAGAACAGCTCTACTCGTACACAGTTCAGAGCTGTCTCCAATGATGAATATCCATTTCTGGGAGTGAAGAAATGTTGCAGTTGGCGAGTAGAATCGCTTATATACGCCTGTAGTATTGGCTTATATAAAGGTCTTGGCGGCGGAGCTTCGTTGGGTGAGGGCTTTTAGCGATTTCGAAATGGATAAGATTGCTTGGCAAAAAAAATCGCGCCCAGCCTCCGACTTTGCCACCAAAAATCCAAAAAATCCAAAAAAAAATCATGTTTTTCTTATCTAAATTTATGAATATTAATTATTAAGAAGTCTTTTCTATATAAAATCTAGTTTATTTAACAAGTTCTATTAGTCTTTTTTTGTCAAGTTTTTTTAAACTGAATTTTTATTTTTATTAAGTAAAGTGACGAAGTGAACGTACTCTTCTATACAAAATCAAGGTTATCAAAAAGATTCTCTTAAAATTAATCTGAAAAAAAAAAAGTAATAGAATTAATAAATCGATATAACTTTAATATAAACAAGATTAATAAATAATAAAAATTCATCAATCTAGATAAGAAAAACATGGTTTCTTCTGAATTTTTATATATTTTTGATAGCGATTTTTTTTGCCAAGCAATCTTATCCATTTCGAAATCGCTAATTGGCAGTCCGGTTTGGTGGCGGCGCTCCACAACTCCATTTTGCCTGGAGTCACCGCTCTGCAAGGCTGACGTGCCTACATCACATCAAGCAAGGTGCCTCTCGCCGCCAGCAAAATCGTGAACAGAGGTGAGCAACGGGGCTTATTCACGTGTTGTTTACACGCGAATCATGCTACACAGCCAGCCTCATGTATGGTAATGCCCATCCTTCCTCGTCGTCCTCCCTGTCACCTTACCCAATAACAACCACAACGCCAGTACCTCCTCTTCCCTGTAGTTGTCGGGAATGCGGGATCTTGATACGAGCAATGGGGGACTGCTACAAACGGGCAGAATCTGTTGTGTCAAACCTCGAGGGAAGTCACTCTGCCTTTGCCGTCGTTAGTGAGGTTTCAAATCCTGATGGGTAACTCCCTAAGATGACTTCGTCGACATGCCCGGTTAATCCGGAATTTCAGTACTCACCGTTTTCCCTGTCCTCCGTCATGATTGTGATCTCCGATCCTTTCCGTCGGCGGCATCCACACAGCTCCACCAAGACGACTCATATTGAAAGGTACCTAGGGGCAAGTAGCAATATCAGTGGCGGAGGTTGCGTGCCAAGGCATACTCAGCCGAGTCGCTCGCAGTGGTGGCAGCCTTGCACGCTCTGCGTCAGTTGATCTTCCCTGCATGAACCCTGCATACCTATCAGAACCCCGACGTCATTGGTTGCCTTACTCTCGGCCTGATGCACTTCGCCTACCTGACATAATCTTCGTACAGTATACAGAGGCTGCGCTTCTTGACTAGCTGCTCCAAAGGGTCTGTGGTGATGCGATGTACTCAATCGACAAGGACTGGCTGCATACTGATTGGCCGCGCAACATGACCTGCAAACCACCTTATGGTGGGTTTTCCCAGGCCTCGTGGTGTTCACTTTACCATCAAATATTTCACTCTTGGAATGTAGCAGGTTATTCTTTTCAAGCCATTGTTCCACTAGTCTTCAACGCTCACCAAAAGCGCCTGTTACAACAAATCAGTCCACATCGCCGAATCTCGAACAAGAAGCGATGGCAGATCCCCTCTCCGTCTCCGCCAGCATTGCTGGTCTGATAACAGTTACCGATGCCGTCTTTAGTCGGACTTTCAAGTACGTGAAAGCCGTCCAAGGCGCTCCAAACGAAGTGTCATCCTTGACATTGGCATTGGGCGCCCTGTCTGGGATTTTGCATAATCTTCGTCTTGTTGCGTCTCAATTGGAGGGAAAGCCATTCGACACAGCCATTCAAGTCAATCATACATGTTCTTGCATTGAGACTATGGAGAAGGTCGAGTATTTCTTCTACTGCGACTACAAACCTCCTACAACGCAGGATCCTCGGAACACTCTTGGTTCTCTCACGTGTCAACTTGCTGTACAGGATAATCAAAGCTTTGGGAAGCTTCAGGCTTTCTATGCGAAGCACAACCGCCCAGATCGGCCATCTGTTGGCTTCGACCTGAGAGAGTTACATGATTGACTTGTTGGGATGGCCTCGAGCTTCGATGACGCAATGGTTGTCGTGGACGCTCTGGACGAATGTCGGACCCAGACTACTTTTATCACTAGTCTACTCTCCGGCTTGAACGATAGCGGTGAGGCGGGCAACACCAAAACTCTTCCGCTGAGCAGGAATGAGCAGGGAATTTGCGAAGTCCTAGAGAATTATGACCAGGTGTCCATTGCTGCAATTCAATGCCGAAATTGAATGCAATAAAGAACTCCGCATCAAAGATCAATCCCTGAAGCAAAACGTCATGAACCGGCTTGTGGAAGGTGCAGATGGCATGTAAGTGAACGCTTGTTATATCCAGCCTCCGCTTTGCGATACGTCATACTCCAAGAATCGTTAACATCGGAATTGAATTGGTAAAGTCGAAACTCATCCCCGGATTTATCGGATTATAGACCGTGCATTACCAGGTAGATTAGCGGGCATTACCGGGTATATGCGAGTAGTGGGCTTAGCGGTCCCGGGAGGTCTGAGAACAGAGCTTTTTTTACACTCAAAAGCAGGGCATACATACTAATCTAGAGTTTGCAAGAACGACACGGACTCGGTGCCTCCTTCACAACCGACATAAGATTTCTTCGCAGCTTACAAAGGGAAGAACCCAGGTGTGAACTCATCACATCTCCTCTTTACCAGAAAATACGGCTCACATCCAGATTAGCGTCACACCCCCCCGCAGAGGCACCGCCTCTGCTAATCTTTCACCGAAGTCCTGGCTGAGAACCGAAAACATGGCTTCCGCTTTCAAGTCTCACAACGTCCCTTTCTCAAAAGAAGAACAAATCGACACTACTCCTTGACCCAAAATCTGATGCAACCGACCTCACCATCACCTCAAATCACGATAGAATTAGCAATTCACTTCCCCTCGATCGCCCCAACATAGCAGTCTCTCTACCCGCTGCCCCGAAGTTTCAAAAGCTGAAGGTCCAGCGAGACAGTCTAGAAGCACGCCTCGATGTAAGATGGCTTCTGTATGCCTTCACGATTTCGTTCAAAGCTTACTCATCTTGTTCAGGCTATTGAGGACCGGCAGACGGAAGAGCACGGCATTCGGTTCGACGCCTTCAAAGCCAACCTCCTAGATGCTTTCGTGGTTGAGTTGGCGGAGCGGCAGAGTATCCTGATGCCACCTGGCACAAACAATGACAGTGCCGACCGCACGCAACGCATGGCAACAGCCAGTGCGATCGTCAACAAGATTACTGGACAGAACTGGGCAAACGAGACGAAGCTTTCTTTGCCTATCGTAAGAACCTAGAAGATTACACGAACCTTGCCATAAATCGTCGACAGTGGGCGCACAGTCCGGAAATGCCTTCGCCAAGCTACTCCTCACACCTTACTTCCAAGAAAATGCTCTGTTGTTCAATGTCGACCACTGGGCGAAGCTTCTGTTATGGGTACATGGGAAGGATACGTTGGAGGAGATGGCTGCTCAGGTTCCCGCTATACCGGGCGTTTACTCAAGTGGGATTGTACATTGATCCGACGCTCGAGATGTTCTTGTTGTTCTGTGTCTTCAGGACCCGCGAAAGGGGCTTCGTTTTTAGATAGCCTTGCGAGACGATAGAAGCAAGTATCGGCCAAGCAACACCCGAGGACCCTGTACCTGAAGTCTCCCGCAATTATTCCACGAATGCAGGATTCCGTGGGCCAAAGCTTATGTATGATCATGCGTCAAGAGCTGCTCATCGCTTCTCCGTACCAATCGCACGGACCTAGGGCACTGACACAGGAGCCGTTGATAAGGTGTCATTGGCTGGAGCTCCAGCTTGCATCATTCAACGAGTCATCGCCTGCATGCATTTGTTTGCTGGTTAGAAAATAGTGGAGCTACTGCAGCCATCAAGAGAGAAAAGCTCTACGAGTGTCCTAAGCATGGGCGATCGGTGCATAAGGTATCTACTTGGGTACCTACTACCCGTCTCATCTGCTTCACTAGCTCTGGCTTACTTCTTGGCGCACTTTGTATGGGGGGCCGTTTGACCCCACAAACGACCCCACAGTGGCTTAATTAATATGTGCTGGGGCGCGGGCTTCCCAGTAGTGAAAAGCTTGCCGAGTACTGGTTTTTGACTGTTTAATTCTCAGGGAGACCCCCTAAAATCCCTTAAACCCTTCGGGGGCTCTTTAAGGGCTCTCCGAGAGCTTCTGTCGAGGGGCTGTCAAAGCAAGCTCGAAATTTGATTATTTTAGTGATATTTGATTGATTTCGAGCTTGCTTTGACAGCCCCTCGACAGAAGCTCTCGAAGAGCCCTTAAAGAGCTCCGAAGGATTTAAGGGATTTTAAGGGATCTAACCCTGAGAATCGAGAGAGACGTTGTGATTTATTTGATATACTTAGGGGAGACCCCCTAAAACCCCCCTGACCCTCCGGGGGCTCTCCGAGGGCTCCTGCCGGAGAGGCTCTTCTCGCAAGCTCGATAGACGAATACTTTATCAAATTTCGTCTACGCTACGTTATCTGGAAGCGTATAAATAATTCTATAATTCTACGTACTTATTTTATTATCATATTTTTTGATAAAATATAAGAAATCAAAAAAGGTAGATTTGAGGATTTTGAAGTTCTTTTCCAGCTTCCTCTTTTAGACATACCCGTATACACCCGCGTTTAGATCGAAAATAAAGAAATAAGGTGTGTTTTAGACTGAAAATGGTGAAATCCGATAATCTGATTGGTCACTAGCCTCTTAGCGTAGCACCCATTCTCGTTTTCAAGTCTCGAGCATTGAGAAAGCAAGCTTTCCAATTAGTCAGCCCCACGATAGCAACTTGCGTCTCCCACCATAATCCTGCATCGCTCGGAGGGATAGAGCTTCTCCTGGAATCGCTTTCAGTATGAAGTTCTAGAATTGCCAATACGTGGATGCTGAAACATTCCTTGAGCTTCTCATCGAATAGAATACGAATATGGTACTCAATCTCCTGCTGGCTTTCAGGCCTGTTCTCTAGCTCGGACGCATGGACCCGCGCTGGGAATCCTTCGGAATTTATTCACCTCAGATGCGCTGGATGTCAGTATCATTGCACCCCTCTCGGCCGATCTTGGAACCTCGCACATCTGCTCAGGCCTCTGTAAGCTTATCTACGCGATCTTCGGACGAATCGCATCTCTGGGTAAGTCAAAAGGAAAAGTGCCAAATCGGTGCTAGACAGAAGGTGCAAAATTCACAAGCCTTCGGCCGAAAGCGAAAGGAAATTGTACTGAACGTGTACTGAAGAAAGTGTACACAAGTTATTTGAAAGGGTGTGCTCGAATCTCTACCCCACAGTGAAGCCGAGATGAATGGTTGAGGTGTCTGCAACACACCAAGCTTGTACCTTTTGCTGGAAAAATCACTTGCCGAGCAAAAAGAAACAGTCTCATTAGTTGTATAATAATAGGAATGGCTCACTCAAGCTCACGGGTCCCAGGGTCGCTTATATTGATAGGGAAATATCTACGTGAGATGCATGAGCTCCGAGATCCGGGTTGGGGAGATGTGCGGAAGGGAGAGGCCCAGGGCTACACCGCTCTCAATCCATATTTGAGGTTACATCCGAAATAGTCAGCAGGAGGTCTGACTCGCATCGCTGTAGATCTGTAAGCACAAGCAGCGCAGCGATTGATGGATAAGATAATATGTCGATAAAAGGACCCGTTGCATATAAAACACTGTTCCAAACGTGGTTGAGACTCCTGACTTACCTTAGGTTGTATGGTTGGTATTTCATTTGTCAACAACTAATGCGGTAGCTGCGTATATGGCTACGCCCCACCAGGACGCACAGTACGCACAACCTCACAGCTGCTCATACAAGCCAGATCATTGAATCTCGTGCAACATTCTAGACTTTTACTCTGGCATCCTGAACGAGTTCATCATTTCAAGAAGTTCGGCCTTGTTGGAGTCCTCGAATTTGATTACCATGTCCCAAGCCAAGCAGCTTGCGCAGTATCACAACAGCGGTGTCGATGGCCATGGCTTTGGCAGCCCGAATGACGCAGCGAGAAGACAGGTCGCCTGTGACAGATGCAGAGGCCAGAAGCTTCGCTGCATCTGGGATGAAAATGTTGGACAATGCCGAAGGTGTGCTAAGGCAAATGTCGTGTGCATGATACTACCACCTCGACCCATGGGCCGGCCGTCACGCCCGACTCATCGCAGCGACTCCCAATCCAAAAGTAGTTACGAACATATTCCGCTTCAGGACCCGCAATGGGCAGCGTTCATGCAGTCACAGTCGTTACATGCTGGATCCTGTGCTGCGATGGAGCAAGACGATATAGACATGCAAGATACCCTCACGGAGGGGACAAGGACTGATTTCGACGGCACCAACCGTGGAGCGACCGCTCGTTCATCAATTGATCATCTTCTGAATGGCCAAGCCGCCCACTTCTCATCTGAACTATTCCCACACTCGGACATGCTGCATACGAATGAAAAGTGCGAGATACGTACCGCATAGCTTCTGTGATCAAAGCTGACTCTGTGTTAGTCTACAAGATCTAGATGATGATTCTTTTCTGGTACATTCGTCGCTCATGCAGAACGCCAACAACACCTACAAGATACCCACATTCGGTAGCGATAAGACCTTCGTTCCTTCACGTTGTCACAACCCGACCATGAATATAAACCGTCCAGCCGCACCCCAATTCATCCCGCCCGACGCTAACTCCGAGGGCGATGAAAATACAGATGAAGACCTGGATGACAGAAGTCTATGCACCATCACAAAACTGTTAAGACTGAATCTGGCCCTGTACAAGCATCTGACGCAGATGAACGCGGGACAGCGCGAGAGTCCAGCTCCAGTCATGACGCCTGTGTCACCTGAGTCTCCATCCGCACCCAGTCCTAAACCAGCAATGGTGCCAAGAATGATGATCGGCCGGCTACTCTCCCTGACAGATGAATTCTCGACGCTCCTCGGCCAGCTCGGTCTCCTGGCACGTACTCACCAAATACCCGGCAGTGGGAGCGACACCGCAAGCCCCTATGGTTCTGTGTCGTCTACAACCACCTCGGGAAACGCGAGCAGGTGCAGCCGTAGCCGCAGCAGTCCCGAAGCCTCCCAGTGGAAGCAGCATGACCCTTGCACGGCCCTGCTGGTCCTGAGCTGCTACCTCCACCTCAAGCAAGTGCATGCCCGTTCCCGCCTCGCCTTGAACCAGCTGCTGAGCCGAGACGTGGAGCCCGAAGACTTGCCCGAGCTGCTGCCGGGTCTCGTGATTGAGGGATTCTCACTCGCTGGCCACGGGCGGTTGCAGCTGGGTATGACGGCCAAGCTGTGCGAGCAAATGTTCAACAGTATTGGGCCGTGCATGGGGCTGGATGACAGTGTCTACGATGCGGCGCCAAGTGGGTTGGATGAGCTTGTTGAAAAGATATGGGGTTTGTTCGGGAGAGAAAAGAGTCCGTAGAGGTGTGTGCGGGAAGGGTTCTGGGTTGCTCAATGGGTCCTCGGTGTCTGTGTCGGATATGATGTCGCTTGCTTACTCATTTCCTTTGTGAGGCTCTCATTGATATTGCTGGCTCGATAAAGCTTTCTTGTCTTTGTGCTGGAAAGAACCCACTATGTGGGGATCTGGGAAGAAGCTTCTGGGAGAGCTTAAGCTTGTATACAACGATTGATGACCGCCTGCTTTCATGGAAAAAGCAGCTTTCCTCTGTTTGAGAGTCTGTTCAGAGCCTATCCTTCTGAGCAGAAATATTCGGACCCATCGTCCGCAAGGAAATCGCGGGGAACCCTGTGCTTCCTTTCCTCTTTTATAATCAGTCCAAGAATATTCACCAATACGCCCGGCCACCCCAAACGACGCCAGCTTCACTCCCGCTCATCCCTACACCTGCTCGTCCACCTGCTCGTCCATCTCAACAACCAACTTCTCCCCACTCACCTTCCCCATCTTCATCATCTCCAAACCCTCCAACACAGCCCGCGCCCACCCTCCCCTGCCACCAAGCCTCCTCGGCGGATGCACCCTCACCTTCCCCTCCCTCGCCAAGCGCTCCACGCACGCGTACCACTCGCGCCCAAACTCCCGAGCCCCGGCGTCCGCGTCCCGGCCGTACCCCTCCATCTCGATCCGCCGCCCGAACATCACGGGGCCGAGCACCCAGCTGCCCCGCACGTTCCGGCGGCCGGCGGCGGACTCCGGGTACCGCTCCAGCGCGACGTAGCGGCCCCCGCTGCGGCCGATGGCCTCGTGGCAGAGCGCGGTGGACTGCGCCGTGCCGATGCAGTCGAGGGCGAAGCGGAGGGAGTTTTGGGTGTGGGCTTTGATGTCGGATGCGCACGTGGGCGAGCGGTAGTCGAAGGTGGCGGCGGCGCCGTAGGAGGTGGCTTGGGCGTTGTTGTGGGGGGAACAGGTGGTGATGGGGATGTAGCCGGCTCTGGGAGAGGGTGTTAGTTGTGGGGGATATTGAGGAGAGTGGGCGAGAAAGTTGCGTCTCCGGGGTGGGAAAAGGCAAAGCAGGAAAAAACCCTCAAATAAGACTCAGCAATGAAAACCCCACAGCCCCGGCATATTTGCAACAGAATAGGTCGCCTTGACCAGACCATCTCGGCCTCGAACAACTTACAGCCGCAACAACTGCACCGCCATCGTCCCACACGCCGTGCTTCCCCCATACACGAGCACCGTCCGCCCCAACCCCGCCGCCTCTCCCCCCGGCCCCCCCTCCCTCGGCCCCTCCAGCCCCATCTCCCGAAACAGCCCCAACCCCACCGCCCCCACGCAACTGCCCCCCAACGCCGCCCCCTCCGCCCAGCCCCAGCCCCGCGGCATCCGCACCAACACCACCGGGTCCGCCTCCACCCAGCGCGCGAACGCCCCCGCCCCGGGCCGCAGCACGTTGCAGCCGTGCACGGCGCCGCAGACGCGGTCGCCGACGGCCCAGGGGGCGCAGCCGGGCCGGGCGGGCGCGTCCGGGTCGGAGCCCACGGCGGCGATCGTGCCGGCGAAGTCGCACCCGGCGGCGAGGCCGGGCGTCCGGAGGCGGGTGGGCATCTTGTGGTCGGAGGGGTTTAGGGCCAGGGCGTGGGTGCGGACGAGGAGGGTGTTGTGGTGGGGGTGGGCGGGGGGGGTGGGGTGGGTGGGGCAGATGGCGAGGGCGCCGGTGGCGAGGGTGAGGATTGCGGTTTGGGTGGGGGGGGGCGGCGTCGTTGGGTTGTTGATTGGGAGCGGCATCGTTGGGTTGTTGGTTGGGAGCATGGGACGGGGGGGTTGGTGGAGAAGAGTGGGTGGTGTGGTTGTAGTGGGTGGGATTGAGGTTGGGATCGGGTTGATGCGAGCTGGGTGGATAGAGTGTGAAGGGGGAAGATGTTGGTCGTGGGCTGGAGAAGATGATGATGTTTTGGCTGTTTCAAGGGTATACGCTGTACATGAGTATCTAGGGGCACTTGTGCTTCTGAACCCACCAATGGTCTTCCCCACCGGTTTTCGGTGTAGACAAGCCTCTGGCTCGGCCACTTTTCTCGGTCCCCGCCTCGCTTGCTCCGAAACGTTGCGATCGGCAGCACTCTTGGCCCTAAAGCTGAAAAGTCGTAGCGATCCGTTCCCCAGGGCTCCGTGGATTTTCTCTTGCTTTGAGATCCCGCGGGTAAAGTGCTGTTCAATCGTTGGTGGAAAACAGCTGTCCGATGGAAGTGTAGCTGGGTCTTTTACTCGATTGCAGTAGCTGAATACGAATATCCGGGAAGACGGTCAGAGATGTGATAAGAGGATACCCTCCGGACAGGTTCAATTGTTTTTTAATGCCGTCATCTCAACCTATTGCTCGCATCTTGAATAGCGGACAGTGGACATCTTTTCGCTATCTGTACATTCTCTCAGACCGGTTTAGTGTTTGCGGTTATCAGAGTAATCTATGCGTCTTGAGAAAGAAGTAGAGAGTATCTATCAAGTGCATATTATCTAGATGAAGATGTCTTCATCCTCTCGTAAAGTAGTACTATAAGTTGCCTTGACTGTTATAGCATACTTCTTCATTGATTTTGCTCGATGAGAAACTTCTTAGAAATCTTAGTCGCCGAGTACTAGTACATGCAAAGACGTACCTGGTAAGGCACTGTTTTGAGAGATATATCAAAGTTGCTGTTTTTTACATCAATTCTATTAAAGACGAATCCGACTACTTTAATGATCAAGAACTGATGTCTCAACTCTTCAAGGGACAGTCTCCCTGTCCCCTGCTGTTGGGCCATGACTAGGGCGGTACTAATTGCCACTCCACTAAAGTACGGGAGCTCCCGGGCAAAAAGTCGTCACTAACCAGGGATAAATCCTGGTGCCAACACCGCGAGCCCTGTTCATGAGTAGGTATTAATGCCGCCCTAGCGGGCCCCTCCCGGCGGGGTACCCTGAAACTGGTATCTTGCGAGTAGATTATCTTGGCAAGAAACTCACCTTCCTCACAACGCAATAGCTTTTCAACCACCGATCCTACAATGAGACTTTCTGATGCGAAACTTTTCCATCTGCTTATGGATCAAGATCACGATACTGAAAGTGTTGTTTTAAACAGCCTTACTATCGAGTTGCGGTGAGTTGCACGAAGGGTTGCAATCGGTCGAGAACCTCTGGATTTTACGCCTCACCAATCCATGAGATGATTGAATTTTTTCAATATACGGGTTTAAAATTACTGTGCTTTGAGACGATGTCTTACAGAAACCGGATTGGACTATTTCAATGCTTAAGGGTGAGAGAGATTTCTTTCAATGCAGATCAGAGTTACTTCGCGTTGAAACATTTTCGCAGCGAACGGATCCGACCGCTCTGATAATTGAGAGGGCGAACGATCTTGTTCAATGCAGATCAGAGTTGCAGTATCATGAGATGATCCTGCAGAAAACGCGTCCGACTGCTTCAAAGAGTTTAGAAGGAACGTGCAGAATTCTCTTCGGTGCAGGTCGGGGTCAGCATTTGCGGAACACTAACATCTCAAAGCCTGGCGGGACCGGCGAAAGTACCTACCTGACCCATCCCTTCTGCGGGTCGGGAAGTCATGCGTAAGTACCCTTTTCCCTCCAACTGTTGTCTCCCGAATCGTTCTCTGCGAAACCCGCTCGGCCGCATGCATGCTCGCAACAAGTGCTGACTGATGAGAAGAGCGACACGCTGTCGCGTGAGCATGCTCCGATTTGCAAACAAGAGGTGTGTGTGTGTGTGTTGCATCGCGTTCGAGGGCTGGCTTAAAAGTCTGAGGTAAGCCGCGCCGGGTGAGTTCGAGTACGTAACAGTGTAAGAGACTCGTGCGGCGTCGTGCACCACGACCCTTTCCTAGGGCCAGGCTCCTCGATCCATGTGCCAGCACTTGCTTCCCTATATCATGGCGCAATTCTCGACTCGGATCGATTGTATCCAAGTGCGCTACATCCGTAATAGTGCCTCTCCGTCATCGTTGCAGTGGTGCGCTTGATTTGTAAGAGTTCATTTCCTCTCAGTATAGCAGACATGGCCACACTTTCTCCTTCTGAGTTTGCTTTCCAGAGATCCCACATAGGAGATGACAGAAGGACTGGGATAACTGTCTCGAATGTTATCTGTTACACACTCGCGGTGGTCGCAGTGCTACTGAGGGTTTTCTCCCGTCATCTTGCGCAGGTGGAGCATCGAGCGGATGATTGGTGGATATGGGGTGCACTGGTCAGTCATCCATAATTGTATTCAGTAATTGTATATAGAACTGATAGTTGATCTTCTTTAGTTCCTCTTCACTGTCTACATTGCTGCCTATCAAGTCCTGGTTCACTTCGGCTTGGGAAGACACGTATTCCTTGTTACCAATATGAAGGGGTTTGTAGTGGTAAGTCGAGATATCCTCGTGCCAAGATTATCCTATTGTTTGATTACTGATGTTCAAATTATACTGCAGACATCAATATTCGGCGCAACCGCTTACAACCTGACAATGCTCGCAATCAAACTCTCAATCGTTTACTTCTACCGTCGGATCTTCCCTCAACGTTGGTTCAAACGCGCTTTGATTGGAACCGGGGCTATCGTGGTAGGCACCGCACTTGCCCAAGTACCCCTCGACATCGTGCCGTGCATGCCCATAGCATCACAGTGGGATCGTAACGTCAAGGGTAAATGCATCGATCTCGGAGCCGCCATTCTTGGAATCGCTATCAGCAATATAATAACAGATGTCATACTCCTTACTCTCCCCATGCCTCTGCTGTGGAACTTGAAAGTCTCCCCTTCTCGGAGAAGTCTGCTGCTATCACTGTTCCTCCTTGGCGGGTGGTAAGTCACGCCCCAGCCCGCTAGAACGTATCCCCGTCCATCCACGCTGAACGGCCCTACCCTAGCGCTTGCATCGTCAGTCTGGTCCGAGTCTTCTTCGTCCAGCAAGCCGAGGGCGCAGACCCAACCTGTAAGCCAGCTCCCCCGCATATCCTTTAAAAAAATCCCCCCCCAAAACCTTCACCCATCCCTCCCGCTCTAAAACCCAAAACCCAGGGAACTACGTCAACACGGCCGAACTCTCCACCGTGGAGCTCGGCGTCGGCATCTCCTCCGCCTGCCTCCCCACCTGCAGGCCCCTCTACAACCACTGCTTCCACAACAGCGACCCCACGCGCGGCGGCGCCCGCTCGAAAGCGTACGGCCACTCGTCCAGGGCCATCCGCATGGCGGACATCGGCCGGGGCTGGTACGGCAACCGGGAGGCGCTCGGGAGCGGCGGGGACGACGGCGGCCTGCACGCGGCGTCCGCCGCGCGGGGCGAGTGGCGGGACGGGGGAGGGGGTCGGATCCTGGTGACGAAGGAATTCGCATCCGAGTCGGTCGGGTCGCGGTGACCCTTTTTTGCAAAAGTCCAAGGGGTTCGGGATCGGATCCCCTTCCTCGACTCCGTCCACGTTCGGTTGGGTCCCCCGTTCGTGTTTGGATCGACCACGTCACACTTGTATCCAGAATCGAGGCCGCATGGCATGGCATGTTCGTCAACGAGTGGGGTGGGTTCATTGGTCGGGTCTCATGCCCGGGGATGGCAGAGTCTGGATGTGCACACTTGGACAATAGGCCCGGACTACGGTCATGTTTTCTTCTCTCGTACTATACATCCCGGCGCGAGATAAATTCTCCTGTGGAATCTGGAGTGTGATGATTGTTAGCGAAATATGTATAGGTGGAGTCAGATGGTAGTTAGCGAAATATGTATAGGTGTGGGTGTGGGTGGGTGGGTGAGTGGTTGGGTGGGTAGGTGGGTGAGTGGCTGGGTGGGAGTGTGGGGTTGGGTGGGTAGATGAGTGGGTTCTACAATAAGTCCAAAAGAGACGAGATCGAATCACGAGCCATGACTCGATATGAAATCGATGGCCGTATAAAGTGTACTGGACACCTATCTCCCTGGAACAGGTGCATGTCATGTGACCCGCTACACCCCCAGTCCCCAGTGTAGCGAATGGTCGGTTCGGAGTAGTCGGGATGTTGAAGAATGGTTTATATTTCCGGTACGGATGTCGAAGGACGGGATTGATTCCCCGTCGATGTCGATGTCGATGTCGATGTCGAGGGATAGGGTTCGGGTTCGGTGTTGAGAAAACCGGAAGATTTCGAATAGAATTAACTCTTCATGGTTCTTATCCTCCCTCTTACATGTACATGTACACTAACACAGGGGCTCTTGCCAAACCCTGCTACGCTTCTTTGCTTGGCATTCACCCCAGCTTGCGCGTGTCGGGGTAGCACGGATTACTCGCCCTGAGGCACTGGTAAGCTTTGTGTCTGAGGCTCGAAGCCTGGCGATACATTCAGTATATGTATTCTGGCGTGGTTTTCGAAGTCATCTATTGAGCTCTCTGTGCCATTCCATGTCAAAGCTATTTAGGGTATCTCATGCTGCTAGAGTCAAAGCTATTACTACAACGTCTGCAACTCTTCATTGAAAATGAGGGCTCGAGTGCTGAAATGAGCCCACTTATAGGCCTTCCCCTCGTCGGTCTCCTGAAGAAGTAACTCACTCCGATTTTGTCGTCTCGTATGGCTTCATCTCCATGTCCTCTCCCTTATCCAGCCCCGTCTCCCCCTTAGCATTCTCCTTCATGCCGTACTTGGTGTCCAATTCATCACGCAGCTTCACCTCCTTCTCCACAAACGTGATCAGGAACCCGATGCCCGCAAACGCAATCCCCACGAGCCACACCAACTGCATCGACTTCGTGAACAGGTGCACCACCTCCCCACGCGAGGCCTCATCTTTAATTCCGTTCACGAACGCCGCCGTCGCGTACTGGTACGCCTTGCCCCCGCTCAGCAACTCTGCGATTTTTGGATCGCTCAATCCCTTGGCCAGCTTATCACACTTGTTGTTAAACACCGCACTGGGGATCGTGACACCCCAGATGGCACCGAACCCGCGCACGAAACTCCAAACGCCTGTCGCAGTCGCCACGTGGCTCTCGTCCAGTGGTGCTTGCATGGCTGGAAGTATAATGCCAGCAAGTCCCCCAGCGCCTATCGCGGCCAGCAGCTGGAAGCAAACCCACGTTGCGGTACGAGACCCTGGTTTCATAATGCTGAACAGCCCGTACGCGACGGCGAGCAATGCGAAGCCGGCGAAATGCATCTGCTTGTACCGCCCTGTTTTCGACAACAGAAGTCCGCCGGCCATTGCAAAGGGGAGTATTCCCACGAAAATGGGCAGGGTTTGGACGCCAGAACGCTCGGGGGATGAGTTCTGTACGGCTTGGAAGTAGATGGGAAGGAAGTAGAAGATCCAGTACGTCATCATGGAGTGGATAAGGGTCAGCGCGAGCGCAGCGGATGACGTACGATTCGCGAGCAAGACCTGCGGGAAGGAGGGCTCTGGGCACAGACGGGGCGTCCATTCGAAGGCGACGAAGAGACCAAGGCCGAGGAAGCCGAGGACCAGAGGCAAGATGACGCGGAAGTTGCTCCAGGCGTACAGCGTGCCACCCCATGTCAGCGCTAGCAGCACGGCTGTGATGGTCGTGATGAAGATGGCGTTGCCGGAGAAGTCAATGCGCACGAAGCGGCGTGCTATCGTTTGGTCACTCTGATAGTTGGTGTGCAGGAAGAAAAATAGCAGCACCAGCGCCACTGTACACGTTCCGAAGTCAGCATTGTCCAAATGAGAAAGACAGGAGAGTGAAAAGGGGGATTGAAAGACGATTATTTGCGTACAAAAAACACTGCCGCCGAATGAGATTGTTTGGATTCAGGAAAGACTTACCGCCGCCGATGGGAACATTTAGGTAGAAAATCCAGCGCCAGGTGGTGTTGCTCGTGATGACGCCTCCAATGAAGGGTCCTAAAGCAGCGCCGAGAAGACTGGCGATGAGAACCACGGGCATGTATTTCCCACGTTCTCGAAGTGGTACTAGGTCCGTCACGATCAGCTCGATCAGCATGTTGATGCCGCCGCCGCCCAGACCCTGGACAGTACGTGCGGCGATTAGCATCTTCATACTTGAAGCGCCGCCGCTGAGACCGCTGCCCAGCGTGAAGAGAGCCACGGCAGAGAGCATCAGCCAGCGCCGGCCAAGAATGTCGCTTGCTTGTCCATAGAGAGGGAGTGTGGCGACCGAGGCGAGGAAGAAGGCGTTGGCGATCCAGAGGTAGAGCTCACCACCGCCCAGATCGGCGATGATAGTTGGCAAAGCGGATGTGATGATGGTGCCTTCGATGGCGGAGAGCAGGCCTGATATGGAGAGGGAGGCGAGGATGGCCCAGAAGCGCCAGGAGTGGGTAGTGTTCTTGAAATCGGCGGCGACATTGTCGGAGTCAGAGTGTGGTACTGTTGGCAATGCTGGATGGGTAGCTTGGTCATCTACCGCCTTCTGATGGGCTTGTGCTTCTGTTTCACTCGAGCTGACGGTGGTTGCGGTCGCAGGATGATCCTCCATAGCGTCCGCTTGTACAGGCTTTGTGAACTTCATCCTCTTCGATGTAAGGTGTTAGGTGTTAGGTGTTAGGTGTTAGGTGTTAGGTGTAAGGTGTTAGGTGTTAGGTGTTATGAGTATGTGAGTAGGTTCTTTTTGAGAGGAAGACTGAAGACTGGCTATGGTAAAGATTCGGTGTGGTGATTGCCTAGGACAGTAAAGTACGTGGGCTAAGGAGGAAGGAGGGATCTATCTATCCATAAGGCCGCTATGCTATTTATGGACTAGCTGCTCAAGGTTTTTGGTCAATTGTAAGCAATGAGCATATACTAGTATGAGGTAGGCAACAGGGTGAACATTTTCTATTTTTACAACGGAAGCAACACGACCCGAGAGCCGAGATACCGGAGTTCGTCTATCCGCCTTATTCTCGCATTCCGCAACAGTGGTTACAACGGCCGTAATCATCCCAGATGATCTTCGAGAGATCGAATGATCGGGTGGATAAAAGTCACATAAGAATCATGAAAGTATGAAACGTTGGGCCTCCCGTTCTGCGGGTGCTAAATAAGTGGCCGAGTGATCCCTTCGTCCCCGCCATTTTCAAGACCGACCTATTTCGCGCTACTTGCAGATCTCTCACACTAAGGTACCTTACCAATCACGGGCAGCCGCGTTTAAGGATGCAGGTTCGCGTCACAGTAATTACCGCTAGCAGTCATCACCGGTCATAGATCAGTAAGCCAACTAATCTATACTATGTTTACACACATTAAGCGATGTTTATCAAAATATCGTAATTTTATCTGTTGTGTAGATATCAAGGTAGACTTCTTACGTATCTCTTAAAGCCCCTTATTCTACTATCCTCCCTTTATCGAATTCCCATCTTCCGACGTTTCCGCCGAGTCGGAACGTGACCGAAGTCTGAAGAGCAGATTGGCTAAATTCTCTCTGACGGAAATTGGTAGCTAATGCGTACCTACTTCGTACTCTTCTTATCTCCGTACTCTGGACCCACTCTACTCTCACTCAACTATCTGCAATGATGATGATTGAGTATAATGATGGTCAGGCTCGCCCAAGTTGGATTCTTGTGGATTCTTATGGATGGTGGTGTACATGTTGTGCGCAATGATCAGTTCAGTCTGGATTACAAGGGAACTTGGCTCTTGCATACGGCCGTCTGCGGGCTTGCATTATCTGACCGAATTTCGCATCGGTCTCAGAGACTTGAAAATAGCCCTTCTTCTTCTTCTCCTTCTTCTTTCTAGCAATTGATCCATCTCAACGTCTTCAATTCGCAATATTACCGAGCACACGACTTCTCACGCAGATATCCTTCTCCGCCCTCCATCACATTTCTCTCAACATGGGCTCCCCAGCCGTCGTCCTCCTGCGCATAGCTCCCCTCATCACCGCCACAGCAGGGTACGTCTACCGCCCCCATCTCGGTCCCCATCGCCGTCTCCACCCCTATCCGTTCAGAGCCCAAACCCTCTCCCCCTTCCCCTCTTCCATTCGCACCACCCAGCTAACATGCGCCCCCTTCCCCTCCCGGGTAAACAGCCACATATGCACCCTCACCCAAACCCTCGCCTTTACCACCTTCATGCACCTCTCCGTGCCGACCGCCCACGCCCCCTCCGTCCGCGCCTGGACCCGTCCCTACCTCTTCAACCTGGGCCCCATCGTCCTGACCGCCCACCTGCTCGCCCTCGCCCTGCTGACCTGCAACACCCTGCCCAACCTCGCCGTAAACGCGGGCATGGGCCCCCGCGTGCGTCAGCTGTACGGCATAGCGCTGGGGCTCGAGGTGCTGAGTGTCTCGTTGGTGGGCCCCAAGTATCGAGCGGCGAAGATGTGCTGGGAGGGTACTGACGCCAAGGCTACGGTGAAGGGACTAGGGATGATTAAGAGGGTCAATGGGTGGAGGCTTTTACTGGTGGATTTGCCGAATTGGAGCTGTGTTTTGGCGGCCGTGGTGTTGGAGCTGGGAAAGTGAAGGGGAGGGTACTAGTACAAGTAGAGGGGAAGGGGTTGACGTTTATATGAAGGTAAGATTTAAACTATTGAGGGGTGGATGGGTTAAAAGAGTGGGGATTGTTATTTGTGTAATGCACTCTCCCTCCATGTGCGATTCGGTTCGCTTGCTAACAACGCGATTCATCTGTGAGTAGTAGAAAAAATGGTGCACGATGCTAGAGGAGTAAACAACGGTTGTTGAGGACAAAAACAGAATAATCGAAACGATTTACAAGTAATGAGTATCCGAGAATATACTCTCAAAGCTACTTTCTCCGCTGATTGGGTATGTAGCTTTTTGTATTTGTTGTCTCCGTTATAGGTGAGTACAGTGGTCGTCGACTCATCTTGTAGATTTTCTTGTCCCGTGATTCGAGAAAAACTAAGGAGTGTCTTTGTTCGGTCACTTCATTCTAAGATTCGGTCACTTCACAGTGCTTGACGGAAATGCAAGCAGTCTTGAGTCTCTGACCTTATAAGCAGCTAATCTTGCTATCTGTCGATTGCGTATATCCATTATTATAATTCCATCTCAATTCGTCTTTCATGAAACACATTCTCCAACACTTTCATACCCCCCGAACGCATCAACCACGATTATTTATCATCCAACGCTCTAGCCGTCCACAACTCCACGTCATGTACCCCTTTTTCAAATACAGCCCCGCGAACCACTACTTCGAGTACGGCTGGTACAACTTCGAGCTCCTCCGGCTGCTCGGCTCCGCCCCCCACGGCGGGTGCGACGTGGCCGAGTTCCTCGAGGCCGTCACCCAGCTGCGGCCCAACGACGCCCTCTCCTGGCAGCGCACCTTTCTCCACCAAGCCGAAAAGGTCGAACTGCTCGCGCTCGACGCGCGGGCGCACGGCCACGCCGCCGCGGCCCGCAACGCCTTCCTCCGCGCGAGCAACTACTTCCGCGCGGCGCAATACCTCCACCCCGCCGCGCCCGCGGCCGAGCGCCCGCACCTGCTCGCCGTCTACGAGCGCAGCACCGCGTGCTTCGAGGCCGCCACGCGGCTCTTCCCCCACCGCCCGCGGCAGGTTGCGATCCCGTACGAGACGGAGCGGGGCAGGCGGGTCGGCCTGCCCGGGTGGCTGTACCTGCCGGCACCCTCGCAGCGCCTCCCGGACCGCCAGACCCCCGTGCTCATCTGCGTCGGCGGCGCCGACTCGACGCAGGAGGAGCTCTACTTCCTGTCCGTGGCCGAGGGTCCCGCGCTCGGGTACGCGGTCCTGACCTTCGACGGGCCGGGCCAGGGGCTCGTGCTGCGGCGGGACGGGCTGCCCATGCGGCCGGACTGGGAGTCCGTCTGCGGGCCCGTGCTCGATTTCCTGCGCGCGTACGCCGCCGCGCATCCGGACATCGGCCTCGACGTCGACGCCGTCGTCTTGACGGGTCAGTCGCTGGGTGGGTACCTGGCGCTGCGCGGGGCCGCGGACCCGCGCGTCAAGGCGTGCGTGGCCGTCGATTCCTTCTACGACATGTGGGATCTGGCCAATGCGCGCATGCCGGGTTGGATGGTGCGTCCGTGGCTGGGCGGGTGGATGGGCGACTGGTTCATCGACTGGGCGGTGCACCGGCACGGCGAGGCGGACGTGGCGACGCGGTACCAGTTTGCGCTCGCGCAGGGCATGTTCGGATGTGCGAGCCCGTGCGACACCCTGCGGGAGATGATGCGGTATACGTTCAAGTTGCCGAGTCGGAAGGGCGAGGATGAGGTTGGGAAGGATTACCTGGCGCGGATCAAGTGCCCTGTTTTGATCTCCGGGGCTGCAGCCGATCCAAAGTCGTTCCTTCCGGAGCTGAGCACGGATCTCTTGTGTGACAATCTGGTTAATGTGAAGGAGGAAGACAAGGAAGTGTGGATTGCCAAGGCGTGGTCGGACGGTGGTTTGCAGGCAAAGTGTGGTGCATGGAGCCTGCTACAGTATAGAACATTTCGGTTCTTAGACGAGAAACTAGGCATTGTGAGAGCAGCCGCAGATGAGGGAAATACAGTCTGAGACACTTAGTGTAGCGTTGCCCGGATGGCAATTCAATGAAATAAGTATGAAATGGATGCTAAGCCGTTTGTGTAGAATGAGTACTAAGCTTGTCCTCGACAATGGGGTTGACCGAATAGCGAGTATCCGATAGCAGATTTTCACAGGTGGTGAATCTTCAAGGTAACGACATCAAAGCAGTTTGCAGTTTGTGAACAGTTGAAGAGAAAATCACACGAGTGCCGAGCTCCCTTAACGATCGTTTTTCATGTACCGTTTACTTGACACGGGTAACATTGTTCCTTGGCAGAAGTGTTAGTCTATGTGTACGAAGTGCGTTCGTAGAGACTACACGTTTCTCACAGTATTGTGTCATTGAATGATAGACATTATACGGAGTGAATGTGGAAATTTGCCTGGGTAATTTTCAGATTCGGTCCGTGCATTCTCGAGTTTTGCTTTCTAACGAACTTAATCGCTCCAGTGCTCGAGAAGGATTCGGGAATCAACCCAGAACCTTTCGGTGCAGAAAACAAGTTGGCCGAAAAAAAAAGTGGCCGAAAAGCACCGAGTCTCCCTCTTGCAGGCGGTGAAGTCAGATGCAAGCAGAAGGCTTGAGCATGGAATTTACAGACATGAGTAGATAGACGGTCCAATGCAGCATTCTGGGAGACTTCTCTCATCGTTCCATTTTGCCTACACCCCCAATTAAATTACCTTCCTTACTTCTCACCGCTAAAGTCCACTCACAAAGCCCTTCTCACCTGTCAGGGCTTCTTTGCCGGATCCCACAACTCCTATCAGTCCATTCCGTAACCACCACGACGGTCATGCGGCGTACCAATCGCAGAACCGCCTACCAGCGCGAGAAGGAGCCTATCCAATTCTCAACATCCTCAAAGGATCCACTGGCCGCATGGCGCATCTCCGGGATCAAGGGTCCGGTGTTCGAGCAGTGGTATTTCGACAGCGTGGCGGCCGACAGCAAGTCCGGCATAACGATGATCTTCGCGCGCGATGCCAGCTACGCGATGCTCGGGCAGGGTCACCTGCGCATGGAGTTCGACATAACATTTCCCGACGGGAAGCACTTCAATCATGCAGATTGGATGAGCGAGGCGGCGCTTGAGGAAACGGATTGCGATGTCATTGGTGAGGTGAATGGTAATGGGTCTGGGGATGGTAGGAACTATAACAAGAAGAACGCCGGGCAGATCAAGGGCGTTTGGACAGGCCCGCGTAAAACGTACACGCACACCATCGCGGCCGACGGCAGCAGCGCGCGCGTCGACCTCGACGGGCCCGAGATCCAGGGCTGGTACACGCTGACGTCCACGGCTCCACCCCACTATCCGCAAGGTGAGAGCCACCCGGTGCGAGTGAGCGGCGAGGGTGCATCAAATGGTCACGCGTCAACGCAAATTTGCCCCAAGATTCACTACGTCGAGGTCATCCCCACTGCCGTCTTCGAAGCAGATCTGGTAGTGCAGGGCCGCCCGCTCCGCTTCAAAGGTATCGGAGGCCATGTGCACATCTGGGCGGCGGGCAGCTGGTTCGACACCGTGCGCGGGTGGCGAGTGTGCCGGGCGGTAGTGGGGCCCTGGAGCGTCACATGTAACGAGTTCACGAGCCAGGAGGATGGGAAGACGTACACGAGCGGGTACGTAGCGCGCGATGGGCGGAAGGAATTTGGAGCTTTGGTGGAGCGAAATAGCGTGGAGTCGAGTGCTGGTGACCCGAAAGAGAATGAGCATCAAGGGGGGACGGTGGTCAAATGGACGCCAACGTATGAGACAGGAATCGCAGGTCCATTCCAGGACAAGAGTACTGGCTGCATTCTGCACTTCAAGTCTGGCGAGAATGGTGAGGAGTGGCGGTTCGAGCTGGCGCACAAGCATGTGGCATTCGACGTGGCGTTTGGCGGCGGCGACTCGGGTCTCACGGGCTTCTTGTCCGGAGCGTCGGGCGGCAAAGTGGGCGAGCAGGTATACAGTGGTGTGGGAAATACGAACGTAAATGTCCTGCCGCGTGAGTGCTCCGCGCATGGATCTATTCCTCCCTTAACTTTGCGACCTATGCTGATGATTGGACACAGAGGGTTGGAGAAAAATTTACTTTTTCATATGTATGCTCTTGTCCAAACTCTCTCTTGGATATATCAACATTCTGGGCAACAATACTTAAGTATGAAGCAAAGACTGTGGCAGGGTAGCAGAGAGGCGAGTATGATGTTGAATCGATGTTGCGCCTCGGCTTTGAATTGGAGGTGTAGGAAGCTTAGTATGAGAATGACGGCTGGCAAAGGACAATATCGTGTGATCAAATACGTACATGACTGGAAGCTTGAAAACTGTAATGATGAAATCGAAGACTTTTATAATGTCTGCTTTGGACTCGTCTGATTATGGGGTCTGATGAGCTGAAAGCACGAGCCTTACTCTCAACTCCGTTTTGGAGAAGCTGGTCAGACTTACAAGAGACACTGTTTACTGACATCATGCAGCTGAACACGAAGTCAGCAGACCGCACGAGCGAATGACTCACAGTAGAAAGACCCCTTTATGCCCCCGTCAGCCTTGCGCTGCTAGATCATGATTTCTCCCTCTCTAATCCCGTTGGCCGCCTCCACGAGCCCCACAACCCCAATCCTTTCTAGTTAACCATATGTGGTCTCACCTGTGTGTACATAAAGTTCCCGAAAAAAGTAGGTCTAGAACCATGGTGACTCGGCAAGCTAACCTATCCCTCAAGAAAGAATTCGGTAACTAGACATGTATCCGAAAGAGGGCTCGGTGTCGGTTATTACTGTAAGCACTATTCATATAACGCCGACTCGTTTTTGGCCGCGTACAAACGCGTTACTATCCAGAAGCAGGAATAAGAGGATGGATGGCACTGCCGAATGTGTCTCAACCATACAGGCCGGAAATATATAAGCAGCCTTAAGGGTTCAGCCTTGACCGCCTCATAGTAAACAATACAACGTGAACTCAATAGAGGGGAAACCCCCGTTACTTACATTTTTAGGCACAGTGTGTTTCTTCTAGAAACATAGTCCAGACCACACCTCCCCTAGATACCAGCTCTTTTCAACAATGATTCAATCCACACCAGTTCCAGCTGTTGAGCCCATCGCCGTCATTGGCTCCGGATGCCGCTTTCCAGGAAATGCGTCATCTCCCTCGAAGCTTTGGGGCCTACTCTCGCAGCCGCGCGACGTTCTCTCCAAGATCCCGTCCACGCGCTTCAACCCGGAAGGCTTCTACCACCCAGATGGCGAGTATCACGGGCACAGTAATGTGCGCCACTCGTACGTGTTGTCCGAAGACCACCGGGCGTTTGATGCCGACTTCTTCAACGTTTCCGCGGCTGAAGCGAGTGCCATCGACCCACAGCAGCGCCTGCTGCTCGAGTGTGTCTACGAGGCGCTGGAGGCGGGCGGGCAGAGAATGAGCGGATTGAAGGGTAGTGATACCGCTGTATTCGTGGGTTTGATGTGTGAGGAATATAGCGATATGCAGTTGAGGGACCTGAATGCGATGCCGAAGGTTAGTGGCTCAACAGCTCTTTTTACTCTTCTGTTGGTAGTTCACAAAGAGAATGTGTTCATGTCTTTGAACCTACCACTCGCACGAGGCTTTCAAGATATTTCAATTCACGTTCTTGAAATAGGGGAGCGATCAAGTACCTATAGCGAACTGACGCAACCGCAGTACTTCCCCACTGGCACAGCCCGCTCCATTGTCTCGAACCGGATCTCATACTTCTTCGACTGGCGTGGTCCTAGCATGACGATCGACACGGCATGCTCCTCCAGCCTAGTCGCCGTCCATCAAGCTGTTCAGGCCATCCGCTCCGGCACGTCTCGCGTCGCCATCGCAGCCGGCACGAACCTTCTTCTCGGCCCGGAAGCGTACATCGCCGAGAGCACCTTTCATATGCTTTCACCGCAGGGGCGGAGCCAGATGTGGGACGCGCGAGCTGACGGATACGCTCGCGGAGACGGCGTTGGAGCGGTATTACTAAAGCGATTGAGCGATGCCATTGCGGATAGGGATGACATCGAATGCGTCATCCGCGAAACCGGGGTAAACCAGGATGGACGCACCCGCGGGATCACGGTGCCGAGTGCTGATGCGCAGGTGGCGCTGGTGGAGGACACGTACAAACGAGCAGGACTGGATCTGAGTACGCCGCAAGGAAGGCCACAGTTCTTCGAGGCGCATGGCACGGGGACGCTGGCGGGGGATCCCATAGAGGCGGAGGCAATTCATCGTGCTATTGGAAGTCGTATAGACAGCGTTAAGGTGATAGAGAGTGGTATTCGCCAGGAGAAGCTGTTCGTCGGCTCTATTAAATCCATCATCGGCCACACAGAAGGTACTGCAGGCATCGCAGGGCTGATGAAAGTGTCATTGGCATTGCAGCACGGAGTCATCCCACCAAACCTGTTGTTCGAAACTCTGAACCCAGCAATCCAGCCGTTCATCCAAAATCTCAAGGTGCCAACTAAAGCCGTGGAGTGGCCCCAGCTTGTGCCTGGAGAGCCGCGGCGGGCCAGCTTGAATAGCTTCGGTTTCGGAGGGACGAACGCACACGCCATTGTGGAGAGCTATGAGCCCGCTCTTCATCTCAACCACATCGCCGACGCCAACGAGAGACCAGAGCATCAGCCATGCCTCCTCCCCTTCACTTTCTCCGCGCTCACGAAATCGTCCTTGATGAGAACGTTGAAAGACGTCATCAAATTTTTGGATGAAACCCCATCGGTCAACCTCACCGACCTCGCATTTACCCTTAGCACTCGCCGCTCCATATTCCCGTATCGCGCCGCCTATCCCGGACTCAGCGCCCAAGACTTGCGACAGCGGATTGAAGCCTCGATCGCACAGCCCGATGGGGCGTCCACGGCTATAACTCGAGCATCCAGCAATCCGGCGCAAATACTCGGAATCTTCACAGGACAAGGCGCCCAGTGGGCAGGCATGGGAAAGGAGCTGATCCAGGATTCGCCTTTCGTTCAAGCCCGTCTGGCGTACCTCGAGGCCGTATTAGCGACGCTCCCTCAAGCGGACCGACCCTCCTGGTCCCTGAAAGCCGAAATCTTAGCTGTTGGTTCTAGGTCGAGGCTAGATACTGCCGCCCTATCCCAGCCCATCTGCACCGTGGTGCAAATCATTCTAGTGGACCTCCTGTGTGCAGCCGGCATCAAGTTCGCTGCTGTCATCGGCCACAGCTCTGGCGAGATTGCTGCCGCATACGCTTGTGGCGTCCTTTCCGCCCGGGACGCGGTTCTGGTAGCGTACTACCGGGGTTTGCATTCAAGCCTCGCCATTGGCCGCGCCGGACAGGTGGGGGCTATGATGGTGGTAGGTACGAGTGCTAAGGATGCCGAGGAGCTGTGCGCGCTGCCGGAATTCGAGGGGCGCATCTGCGTCGCAGCCTGTAACTCGCCCACGAGTGTCACTCTCTCAGGAGATGATGACGCTGTTGAGGAGGCCAAGACGGTATTCGACGCCGAGGGCAAATTTGTACGAGCACTGCGAGTCGACAAAGCTTATCACTCACACCATATGCTGCCTTGCGCTGGGGCTTACGTTGATTCGCTTCGGAAGGCATCAATAAAGGTTGGGAAGCCACTTGATGACTGTAGATGGTTCTCTTCCGTACAACAGGGCAAGCTCATGGATTGCAAAAATGAGAACGAGGAGTTGGACGCACTCTACTGGTGCTGCAACATGACTCAGACAGTCTTATTCTCGGCGGCAGTGGAAGCCGCGATCACGCACCTCGGTAACAAGCTTACTATGGCTCTCGAGATCGGTCCACATGGGGCACTGCGTGGACCCGTGGAGGACACCATGAAGGCGGCCGCGAAGCCCATTCCTTCTTATGGATCCTGCCTGGTCCGGAACCAGAATGGTGCCGAGACCTTGGCTGCAGCACTTGGCCTGATTTGGAGGAACTCCCCCGAGGGCGCGGTTGACTTCGAACAATTTCAGAAAATCGTCCACCCGCAGCAGCAGTCCCACTCAGTGCTCCTCAAGAATCTACCAACTTACCAGTGGGACCACGAGCGCAACTTCTGGCACGAGTCGCGCCGGTCCAGGGCGTTACGCACCCGCCCGCATCCAGGCCATCCCCTGCTAGGTACGCTGAGCCCTGACTCGACGGAATTGGACATTGTCTGGCAAAACATCCTGCATCTCTCCAAGCTGCCATGGTTGACAGGGCATCAGCTTCAGGGACAGATAGTCTTTCCCGCCGCGGGATACGTGGCCCTTGCCCTCGAGGCGGGCGTGCATCTTGCCAATCAGCGATCTGTACAGCTCATCGAGCTTGAAAACCTGTCGATCGTCAAGGCTATTGCGTTCGAGGATGAGAACAGTGGCGTGGAAACGATGTTTCATCTGCACATCGAGCAGGACGCGGGAGAGCAGAATGAGGGGACTGTTGTTGCTAGCTTTCGTTTTCACTCTACGGCCAGAGATGCTGATACTGCGTCCTTGATTGCAAGCGGGTGCATCAAGTTGTTCCTTGGAGACGCTTACGCGCCGTCGTCTCCCTTGGCTTCCCGAGAGACGGCCCTTCCGAATATGGTGGATGTCGATGAAGACGAGTTCTACTCGGAATTGAGTAAGCTTGGCTACCAGTATTCAGGTTCCTTCCAGGCACTTCGGTCCATGACGAGAAAATTTGGGCATGGCAGCGGTCTAGTGTGTAAGCAGTCTACGGCCAATGTGCATCTGTCAGAACAGAAGTTGCTCGTTCATCCAGGATTCCTCGATGCAGCGTTCCAAGCCATCTTCTTAGCATATTCTTGGCCAGGTGATGGCCGTTTGTGGTCACTGCATGTGCCCACCTCCATCAATCACCTTCGCATTGATCCAGTGGCATTTCGTTCCAACCTGGATCCTCAATTAGCCTTCAACTCGACGGTAACATCTGACGGTAAAGTCAGCGGACACGTCAGTATCTGCGGTGATGTCGATATTTACAGCGCGGACGGGAGTCAGAGCATGATCCAAGTTGAAGGCATCAACGTCGTCCCCTTTGCAGCATCCCCTGCAGCGCAGGATGTGCAAATGTTCTTCGACAATGTCTTCGGCGTGGCTTCGCCAGACGGTGAGCTCGCGGTCGCTGGAAGTAGAGCCTCAGCAGCCGATATTGAACTGGGCTGGGTGCTTGAACGCATCTCGTACTTCTATCTCCGGCGGCTCACGCTTGAAATCACGCCGGAGGAAGGGAAGAAGACAGAGTGGCACCACCAGA